ACCCGTAAGGTTGATCAATGTCGTGGACATCGGCACGGATCAGTCACTAGCATGGTCAACTAGGATGGATCGATCATGCTGCTCGTCAAAGTGCATAAACAAGGTACGTGTATTTAGCCAGTAATATTGCTCAGGACTTCAGGGTTAAATATGACATATTAACCCTGTCTCAGGGTTTTACGTAGGCGTAATAGCCCTGGATTTTCAAGACCCGGCGAGACGCGGCGGGACTTTTGAGGACTCATGGGAAAGATAAGTTGATGTACGTAAAAATTGGTGTCAGTGAGTTTGTATGACTAGTGAGTGTAAGTAGTCAAGGAACGCACTCAGAAAAAAGAGACCGGCTTTCCTGTCAGAGCGACTGCTTTTCCTGCAATCGCCGAAAATGGAAGCACCCGTGATGCGTAGTGTAGTTGTATCTTTCGGAACATGGGCTGTTGTGCCCTGGCAAGAATAAGAAAGAGTTGCTGTCAATTATTTCTCTTCCCAATAAATTTAAAAAAATGGTCAGCAGACGGTGAGATATTACTACACACTTCGCTTTTTTCTATGGTAAAAGAGAGGAAGAGAGACTAAATTATAGGAATTGGGATGTTGTAGTGAAATCTTTGTAGTCATCATCAACAGACCTCTTCGCGATTCCACCCCTGAAGAACGCGCATTCAACGATGAAAAGGGAAACTGGAAGAAGTTTTCAATAGACCTCAGAGAAAGAAGTTTATTGACGGTGGATGAATTCATCGACAAACTCTTTCGTGATGACATCGATCATAGCCCTTGTCGATCGGTGCATGGCATAGGTGGCGATATGTACCGATATTGTCAAACCTGTGTGGAAGGGCTTAGCGGTCTCGGTTCTCCTTGGCAATATTATCGACTAGGAAGATTTACTCGTGATGTATGTATATGCACTATTACTAGCATAACATGATGCTTAAAAATGATACTTTTCTTTCCACAGGGCCAAGTAGTCGAACTCCCTGTTGACCAAACCACTCCTGCGCCAACCAACCCCTCGTTGTTGCGGAATTCAAGCCTTGGACACAGGCAGACACTGTTTCTGTACCCGCTCAGATCAGTTAACGAAGAGCTAGTCCATGCTGTGCACAAGAGGTTTAAACCTACCGTGTCACGCGAATGGAAGCGCAGTGCCCGGGATAAGATGCGAGCAAAAAACTCGTATCTTAGTGGCAGCATCATTGGCCGTTCAACACGGAACCGTAGCAATCGCCGCCGCCGTGATGAAAGACTTTAAGTTTTTGCGCCGCTTTCCTCTTTCTCACCTGAAAAAGAGACCTTTTTATTCCCCTCCCTCTTCGCCTTCCCATCCTCTTCTCTCATAAAATCACATGTTCCGTTACAAGCCTCTTTCCAAAAAGATTTTACTTTAGGCAAACGAGAATCCTTCTCATATTTGCATCTTATAGAGGCAAAGGTAATTTGCTCGGAAGTGTTAGTGTAGATAATCCAATCATAGTTCGGGAGCGTATGACAAGGTGCGTGACTGTTTGTGCGAGTCAGCCCTATAAGCATCGAATTCGAAACGATTACGTACGCGTTTTGTTCAGCAACGTCCTTTTCTTTTTTCTTCACTTTTGACACTACACGCCACTCTGTGCTTTTCTCACTCGACGGAACTGGCGACGTCGACTACCAACCACTCGACTTGCCAGCACATCCATTATTCTGGCTTCGGTATCGCTATACCACAGACTGTAGAAAACCTGATTTCTTTTACTTATTGCCTACTTCCATTTTCCTATACATTGTATACTCCAATCCTTGTCATTTCAAGTCATCACTTCTCCCAAACAATCTACCCTGATGTCAGCCAGCGTAGCCCACTGTATAGCTTAGATGTCTGCCCCTGGCTTCTCCTTGTTACTTTCTCTCTACTTTGAGGGATAGTGGCAGCCTTCGTGCGGCGGCGCTAGCGTTATACACGGCTTGTGAGCCCCGGCTCATGGAGGGCTTCCTTGTGGAGCACTTCCGTTGGTGTGATTATTATGTCATCTTGATAATGAATCCCTGGCTTCTCTTGCCTTCGTGCGGTTCTTGTCATTATAGCATATAGTCGCAGGCATCATGTTCGAAGAACCACTTCTACTTGTCTTTCTGTGTATTTCACACACTGCGTGTCTTTCACATCCATTCCTTGATACACTCTATATTTTTTCCCATCGACTCCTTAACTTCCTTCACCCATCTCCGTTGTGTAGCAGCCTACGTAAGTGATACATACGTTTTATTTGCTATCGGGATATACGTCTATCCACAATGAAGTTATTAATGTATAATTATTTGATTGATCGAATTTCCAAGGTGCATATAAAGCAACAGTGGCGTTCCTATGCATCAAGAACGAAGCATCCATCTTGTCCCTCAGTACTGGTACAAATCCTTCATGAAAAAACGGGATTGTTATCCTTTCGTGGTTGTATCTCTTCATAACCTCTGCTCACTATATTGTTTACCCCTTCATTCTGAAAATCCTTGTATTATACCATTACGATATTCCCTTCTATCTTACCGTATAACCAGGTTCTATTGTAAACATATTTACTCTGAAGATCATCATTAGAATGAAATATTGATTACCATCTTATTTCCTTGTATCTGCTCTTCGCTTGTCTTGTCTTGTTACCTAATATTATGTGCACATTCACAACCCTTACTGGGATTTCCTTGGTTCATGACTAGTGCGAGTACGCCAAGTTTTAAGCTAAGCTACCTCAATGATTACCGAAAGCACATGTACGTATCTCTCACTGGCTTTACTACATAGAACGTACTAGTATCGTGGCATCTAGCAAGATGATACAGTAATCAAAGCAAACTTCATCAATCAGTTCAAGGTAAGCGAGAGGGTTTGGTCAAAGGCTCTTTTTTTTTGCAATGGCTGCTCTTCTTGCTCTTACTGCTGCAGATATTTTTCACTACTTGCTTTTGGGAAGGTACAACATCGGTTTTTTACTTTTGGATATATGTAAATAACCTATTAAGCCATAGTAGGAACCCGTTGCAGTACTTATCACTGCAATTTACCAGGCGAGGTTCTATCATCAGTAGTTCCTATGGTTCAAGCTAGCAATGATTTCGGCACGAGGATATAGTGTAACAATCATGTTTGTAGTTCGCCCGTTTGGCTCATTAATATGAATAAAACCGAATATATAAGAACCATACACAAGTTTGAAGCGAACAAGATGTTGATGTTTATCGATATAATGACGAATAACATGATCAAAGTTGCTTTTCCAGCAGGGTGTGGTGTTTTACCGCCAGTTATATACGCGAAGAAGACGGCCACAGTCCAATGATATTGTGCCAAGTGCAAAAATCGTGCACTCTTAATTGGACGTTCGAAGGAATATAAGAAACTTCATTTGTAGTCGATGCGCTAAAATATGGAGATTATATGGAAGAATATGTCAAAACCATGGAAAACTGAATATGATCAAATCCATGTTTGCCCACCTCCCATATCATTTTGCGAGAAGAGAAACGCGGTGAAGGATACCGAAATCTTATCGCTCGTAAGTTGCCAGCAGCTGGAAATTTATTCGTGAAAGTGCATGACTATTCCTAGCAATCATACCAGCAGCAGGCGCAGAGCAAACCGACAGCATGAAGAGGAGCAGCAGCCGCAAGAGCCTCCGGTATATTGACGTTCTCTTTTGCAGAAAGCGTTATGGGAACAATGCGCGCAGAAAGCGGTGAAGAGAGCATCGAAGGCTTGCAGCGCGAGCTGGACATTCATAAAGAGGTTGATGCCAATGACATTCCAGAACAACGATTTTGTTTTGTGTTTCTATGATGCGATAAATCGTCACTATTCTTATTCATTCTTATTCTACCGTAATGCGTCAACAAGCGTCCGTTTCCTATAATATTATAGCTATGCTGAGCTCATCTTTTTGTTTCCTTTTATACACAACTGCCGAAATACGTTTTTGAAAACTACGTCTAATTCAAATATATGTGATATCGTTACTTTTCCATGAATCTATACGTCTTCTCCTTTGTTCTATACATTTATATATATATATATAAAACTGACCCACTGTTTGCTAACTTGTCTTATCATAACCAGCAGATGATTGCTTTTACAAAAGCTATTTGACGTATTTTTGCCTGTACATCCACGTCTATTCAGCTACATCATATAACGCGTTTTTTCATGTTGCAGAATAAATACCGCTGTAACTATATAATTCTGACACAGCTTTGCCAGCTGGCTATGGATGCGATTTATAAACTGATGGGTTCCATTAGCCTTCAACAGGATCTTGAACAAACGTGCATAACGAAACATTGTCTGTGGGCGAAAATCGCGCGCAGTAGAATTTTGTGCGCCAGTGGTGATGTCCACGGTGTCCACGGAGGAGACAGCCAATGAAAGCGTAGAATGCAGCGAAGGCAAAAACGACAGCGGTGGCGCAAATCCTTCTTCTTACAGATGTTTTATTTGCCATTTCCCAACCACGAATAAGGTACAGCAACCAGCAACAGCAACTTTGATAGAAACACATCACGCAACGAACAGACGCTTTTATTCACTATAAAAAATAACGATCGTCTTTAAATCAGGCCCTGAATAAAGAAAGCAGCAACGAACACGCGCTATTTTTTGTTGTTGTTCGCATTCGACATTGTTATGACAAAAAGAAGTTGAGGCTAATGTAAGATGCAAGTACAAGTATGATATATTTTAGAAAAAAGTCACCAGGACAAAAAAAACCATACAGAGAAAGAATTGAAAGGGAGAGGAGGAAGAGGGAGAGAGCAGAACTGGAAGTATTATCGATGGAAGTGGAAGGTCGTGTTTTTTAACTTTCTAAACAGTGACATAGCATTGCTTTCACCGTTGCGGTTTCTGTGGGAGAGCCACTGAGCATACTCTTGCTTCGAACCTAAGGGCGGTACGGAATCATCGATGGCTTGACACTTCTGGAGCAAGCCAGGTCGAAAGCCAACAGTGTGAAACGCAGCCCAACAGTAGGGATAAACGGTGCGTTAAATCGCAGGGTTACAGGCATTCGTCTCTCTGCCATGGCTCATGGCATGATTGATTGATATTCCACAAGTCCAGTATACACCTGGCCTATGAAACAAAGAAGACAAAAAGTCAGTGTTGCTGCAAGAAGAAGGGGGTAAGCATGTGTCATGGCTACATACCGGTATTTCATGCAATGGCCGAAGAAGTTCACATGCACGCAGAAGCACCGCAAGCAGTAGTCGTCATGTGTTGCCTTGTCAAGAGCATGCGAGCCACATTGTTGCACACCACGGACGCGACAGACGACACATTCTTCGTCGGCTTCTTCGCATAGGCTCAGGAACTCGTGTCGGTTTCTGCGATGCTCTTGGTGCTGCTGCTGGGCGCGAGTATAGCCACCAAGAGAATGGATGCTCGGGCCTTGTTGTTGTTGCTGCTGCTGCTGCTGCATGCGTTGGAGGTAAGCCTAACAAAAAGGAATGACACGTTTAATACAGTATAATTTTGACAACTGATTAAAAAAAACATCATAACTTACAGGAGAGGGAGCAGGCAGATCGAATGGAATTTCCTGTCGCGATACTGTCTCGAAAGCAGCAGATGACCCCACAGACGATGTTGAGCTCTGCCGTTGGAGGGGTGATGATGATGATGAGGGTCGTGGTATTTGTGAGCGGTTTGGAGCAGCTCTAAAATATCGGAAACTGCCTGGAGAAGGTGATAATGGCGGTGGTGATCGAGATACAGTGAGGTCCAGAGCACGTAACGGAGTATCGTCGCAGATGCTACACTTCTCGAGCCTGTTTTCCGCGAGGCAGTTCAGAAATGGAGCACCATCAAGATACTGCTACATCTCAAAGCGAAGGCAGGTGTTTGACTGTTATAAAAGTCTCGTATTAGCAACTGTAATCATACTGACATCCATACAGATTTTTATTTAATTTTTGTTATTTACCTGTGCAAACGCCATCATCTGTTCGCGGTCGGCGATTTTTGTTCTTTCTTCATCCCGTTGGCTTAGCCTGCCAAGTCTTGCCTCTTCTTCTTCTATGCAATAGTACGCCCGTCACACTGAAGGCAGCCCATCGCGACCAGCACGACCTGTTTGTTGGGCATAGTCCAACAAACTATACGGCAACTTCCAGTGGAACACGAAGCGTACATTGGGGGAATCAATGCCAACGCCAAATCCGCTCGTAGTGATCATCAGTCCCCCGTTTGACATCCAATGCTGCTGTCGTTCGGCCCTCGTGTCTTCGTCCAGATCGGCATGGTAAAACTGTGGTTTAAGGGGGCGGTACCGGAAACGGGCTTGCAAGTATCCAGCGAAGTCAATGACCTCTGCCTTGGTAGTACAGAAAAGAATGCCACGTTGGCCCGCAAAATGGAGCAGATGTTTTGCAATGACGTGTATCTGGTCGTCGTTCTGCTTCGAGGGGTGGGCGCACACCTGGTAGGAAAGGTTTGGTCGTTCTGTAGACTGGGCACGGATCGCTGCGAAATTTGATGCGTAGAGGATTCTGGCTTGGTCCTCCATGGTCGGTGGCAAGGTGGCGGTGAGGAGAAGGAGAGGAACAGGAACGAGGCGATGGACTTGCAGCTTATGCATTGCAGGACGGAATGACTGCTGCGTCAGACCAAGGTGGCACTCGTCAACAACAAAACGTACCAAACGATGCTGTTGTTCGTAGCAGTACTCGACAAATGCGGTTCTCGCTATTGCTTCCACTGGCGCAAGGAGGATTTGGCTGTCCGGTACTGTGGGTGCATTGTCTATATAAAGATATGAAGAAGATAAGTCCATGATCAGACTTGAATACAATTTCTCTTCGTCTTTTTCTCAAATGTAATACAATGCTACTAACCTTGCCATTCCGCAACAGAAATGCCGCATTCTGTCAAACGACGCATGTGGTCAGCGACCAGCGCCACAAGAGGAACAAAGACGATCGTGAGTTTGTCTTCCTCAAGGAGCGGGGGCAAAGAAAAGAGCACACTCTTGCCCATACCCGTTGGCATGATGACCAACAAGTCCAGCTTGCGGTCCATAATGAGAGGTATGGCGAGTGCTTGCTCGCGCGAGCGAAAGCTGGCCGTTGGATCGCCGAGTAAGGTTCGTAAAGCTATAAGATGGGCAGGGAGGATCGCTAGAGGTGATAATGACAGTATGCATGATAGGAGAAAGTTGATGAGTACAAGGAGAAGGATCGTAAGCCAGAAGCCATGGGTAGCAAAAAAATAGAGGTATCTTACGTTTATATTTGATGGTAGGAGCGAAGTCCTTGGTGGCATTGTGATGCAAATTTACAATGAACTGCTCGGTGACCTGATTGAGCAAGCGGTTTATATGGTGCGGAAGGTGTGGAAATGGAGGGCCGGAAGCCAGTTGCTGTTGCTGTGGTTGCGATTGCGATTGCGATTGCGATTGCGATTGCGGTTGCGGTTGCGGTTGCTGTGGTTGTCGCTCTGGTTGTGTTGTGGGTGCCGCAATGGCATCACCAATATCTGTATATCAATGAAATACTCAATCAGTTCAGATCTTCCTTTTTTTCTTTTACGCTGTTAGATAGGATGGACTCTACGTACGCAGTAACTTCTGCCATTCTCGCGAGCAGAGGTCAAACGTGTGGATCGATTCAGTCGTTAGAAACCATAAATCGCTTGACGTTCGAGCATAGTGCATGCCCGCAACGGAAGAAGAATGTGCCGCCTGCATATCGAAAAACCCAGGATCGAATCGATTTACAATTCGTCGGCGCCCATCTTGTTGCTGCTGCTCGTATGTTGTTATATCGTCGTCGTTGTTGTCACCTTCGACCGTGTCAATGTCAGGATGGGCAAGCAACTCTTCTGTTGTTTACAACAGATGAGTTCCTTGTTGGAGGTGGTGGCGCATGAAGAAGGTGGCGACATGGCGATAGGCTTGAAGCCCGAGACCGGCACCCATATGGCTTTGGGTGTACCTAGGAAAAAATGGCAAGTACGTGTTGATCAGGTCCTTCTCTCTCCCTTTTTGCCTAATTTTTGTGTGATATAATGTAGATAGCATACCTGTGCAGTTCTTTACTGAACATAGGGCTGGTCACGACTTTGCCGTGCGCAACAAAAAGGAAGTTCTGGTAGTTCTCGATACCAACAACCACGTCTGATGTGCCCATCCGGGTTTGATAAAAGGCAAAGCTACAAGCGAATGCAGACGAGTTAGCGATACAACGGTACTATGAATTAAGCACTCAAACAACAGCCAAAAAAAACCATTGAAATATACACATACCGTTCGAACGGGCGCACCAGTACAAGGTACATCAGGACAATCTCGCTTAGCTCCTTGTTGAGGAAGCGTGCGACATAACGATCGGCAGTGCCTCTCGAACGACGCTTGTAGTAGTACTGAACCAGCATGACCTTTTGTCGGTACCAGTACATGCCACGTTTGGCCCCACGCGCGGACGAACGAATTGTCGTGCATGCGAGCTCCTCACCTCGCGCCGATTGTCCACTTGTAATGTGAGCCAGAACCATGATCATGAGGATCAATTGCGACATTGGGACAGCCACTCGTACAGAGCGGCGAGATTCCACAAGAGCTCGCCGCTTTCGGTCACGCTTGCAATAAATTCGTCACTGTGTTGCACTGCCAGGCGCCTGAACAAGACCTTTAGGTAGTCGTCGTTCGCTGTTGGGTTGCCGGGTCTGGTGAAGAATGCGATGGAGGGATCGGCTGTCCTGGTATCGGCCATTATTTCATGGAAGCGATCACAGAAAGGCTCCTGCAAGGTATAGCCGCGCAATACATGGTCTTGTAGTTGCGTGCGACAGTCGACGAGGAGGCGGCCGACACCAACCTGGATATTGGTCAAATCAACGCTTGTTGTCCGGTAGCGGATGGTCCTGAGGTCATCGCTGTCGATGTAAATGGAAGGCTCGACAGCTTGATCGGCTGATGCCAAGGTTGCGGTACGCATGGTTTCGGTGAGCATGTTCATTACGGTAGGTTCGCCATCATTGAGCCAGTACAAAACTTCCCGTGCGTCCTCACTAGCAAGTCAAACAGTTGTAGATATAAGAATTGGGCAGGTACAAGTATATACGCATATGTAATGGAACGATACTCACCGACTGATCGTACGATCAGCATCTCGGAAGGCTGGATCATTGAGTGCTTCAACATTTTCATATTCATCAGCAAACTCGTCATAGGCAAGTTGGGGCATGGTAAAGGTATCAGAGTCCATGGTCACAGCAGAAAGAATAGATTGGGATAAAAAATTGGGGGATAACTGACTGACAAAATCTTTGTGCATGAGGGGTATTAGTATTCTGTCAGTTTATGTGGTCCTAGAATCATTGCCACATGCTTATAGAGAAGCGGGTAATATGAGAAAATGATGGCGCCACCATTGCTGCCGTTTTTGTGAATATGAAGCTCGTGTAAATGCATTGACTTGATGTCAACTTTGATCCGAATAATAAAAAAACACATGCCTGTTGGTAGTAGTGGATGCAGAGAGGACTTTCAGAAGTATTTAAAGAAAGAATTTCATTGAATGCTGCTACACTGAAAACGGTGGAACGGGAAGTGACTCGAAAAGGAAAGAAAAAAAAAGTGGCACGCTGTTGAGAAAGATAAACGAGGCACACGTGGCACACGATTTATTTCAAGCAAAAGCACAGTTCCTGCCTATAGTGTGTGATCGTCACTGGCATTGCAGCGTAAAGACCGAAAAAAAAAAGAACATCCCACGTGGTAGCCACTTTCATATGAAAGCGCACAGACGCTGGAAGACACGTTGCTTTATTGTTAAGGGAAATCTAAAATTAGCAATTGAGCAAGACAATAGGATCTACCGGGATTTTCCTTAAAAAACCACCACACGTGGCCGCCACACTGCAAAAGTGCTTAGGCAATAATGGACACGTTGATCTGATTTTTGGGTAAGCGCGTTAAACCAGACGATCTTTACCGAGAAACCCTTTTCCGTATACTCGTTACAACACACGTGGCAGCCACCTTCACACATGAAAGCAAACGGGTAAAGAAAGACACGTTGCGTGGATTCTCAGGAAGTATCTAAGATTAGCAATGCAGCCATGACAACGGTATCTATGAAGAAGCTGTGTTCAGTATATTTTTTTAACATGTGGTTACCACCTTCAGACATGAAAGCAAATGGGTAACAAAAGGCACGTTGCTTGGATTCGCGAGAATCATCTTAAATTAGCAATGCAGCCATCCCAACGATCACCGTCAAGAAGCTTTGTGCAGTATAATTTCCATAACACATGTGGTTGCTATGCCTTAATAATAGAGTGCACAGGAATAAGCCGCGTCACATACAGATATGCTATTTAAAATAGTATGTAGTGTAATGCTCTGAATCGTTATATTTGCTACTGGTATAACAACTCTTTGTCTTTTTCACCACACATCCTCCTTTGGCTCTATTCTTTTGTTATTAGTCACTTTTATTATTCTTCATCATGTCATCCCGTCAACGGCGAACGAGACGTACAAATGCCCCGGAAGAAGACTGCAACTGCCCAAACATATCACCGGCGGAAATGAACACCCACAGGAAGCAATATCATCAACAGCAAGTAACACTTACACTTCGCGATGGCTGTAAGTCGGTTTTGTGCCAATGTCAATTGTTTATTGGTGAACATATATCACGCATAAAGTTTTACTAAGACATAATTATTATGCAGCCAAACTCGATGTTGTGGTGGAACGGATCTCTCCCCCGGACCAAGTATTTGTGACATGCCCAGAGTGTACAAGACGCTTGCGCATCATGTCTGTGCATACTCATTTCCGAAGATTCTGCCAAAAACGCCTTGATCCTGCCACCGTTGCTCATCTTCCAGAATATAATCCTCCACCTTCTTCGACGATGCATCCAACTACAACACAGCAGCGTGGCGAGCCGCGTTTGCAGGAAACTCGCTCCATGTCACCACGGCAAACAGTTACATCAAGACGTGAAATGCCACGCAACCGCACGCCAGTTCAGCCTCCTTCGCCATCACCCATGTTGAATCCGTCACCACCATTGCCCTCATCGCCTTCTTCTTCTTTGATGTCATTGCTTCCACCATCCCAAGGTGCTTTAACATTATCAGATGAACAGCAACAGCAATCCCAACAGCAGGAAGACGCAACGGAAATCGACTAACAAGAGCCGACCGTGGACCAAGGTAAGATCATGGCGATAAAATCATTTACGTGCACATGCATGAGTAAAAGCGTGTGTGTGTGGTTTTTTTTTTTTAATTTCAGAGCGTGCCAACCTGATTACTCGTTTGGGTCTCACCATCGATGAGAGTAGCGGACTCCTTTTTTGCTCGAATGGTTGCCGTGATCGCCAATACGTATTTGTCAAGACGGATGAAGCATACCAGCATATCATCACAGCCCATCGTGCACTACGACGGCATGTAGAAGCGGTTTTTGAGCACGAATTCACTGAACTTTTATATCGCCTTGGTTCCCAACGTTCTGATGTAACCGACCGATACTCTGTTGCCGCTTCTCGTGTCAGGGATATGATTCCTCGTGTCAATCTACTCGACCCACCTGTGCCAGGATATAGATGCAATGGTTGTCCTAGCTATTTCCAGGAGTACACATCATGTCGATCCCATCGTTCTACTCATCACGGTGATAGTGATGTGACGCTCAATGCGTTGTTTGCAAGATGTATGGTGCAAAGACTCGGTCCAAGCCAGAATATGCCATATTTCGGTGTTATATCGGATGATATGAACATTGACGCCAGCAACCGGGACGTGGCGCAAGGGGAGCAGAGACTTACTAATGCTATAGAACGGTGTTTGCTTCAGCACGAGGGTATCATGAAGCATTATGGAGCCATGAAAGCAGCCATGATCTTGGTGCTTGTTTCCTCGTTTCCGGACAAAACACTTCTTCTGTATTCGTAGTCGGGCTGCTCTTGCTGATCCTCGGCGGGAACCTCAAGCAAAGCCGGTTTTTGATACGGCTCTTGATCGGGCTCCGACAACTGATGAGCCACATTCTGTACCATGTCTTCTGATGGTGATACGGGCGAAGGCATGGACTCATCATCTTGGTAGCCGTCGTCATACATATCATCATCCTCGCCGTTGCCGTCGATTGCCATCGATCGGTCAAGGGTAGAGGCATTCTATGTTGTCGAGTTTGTAAGTGCCTATTGATGCATGAGGCTTTCCTACTTCCCTCTTACTTACAACAATGCTAGTTAACCCTCTAGAAAAATCAGACGACCCACGTGGAGTGTTCGTTTTCGTCTCTGCTAATTGGAGACATGTCTCTTGCATGCAACTGGATATATGCTCGTCCCTGGGGTAATCCCGGTTGAAGAGTTGTTGCTGACACCACATGCAATGGTAGGTGAAGTTACGGGTTTTCGAGGTAGGTTCCATGTCAACAATCGTTAATGTTATTGGTGTTTAGTAAAAGAAGAAGAGTGTAGAGCCAGCACGATGGTTATAAAACTGACAAATAAACAGTTACACATTGTAACACGTTGAGAATAAATACCTTGCGGTATGATATATACAATTTCTCAATTTTTATTCAGCTACTGCATTATCACAACCGAACCCTGGTTTTCTTCCTTATTTTCTATTACGTCAAAAACTTGTAACAATAACAATGACACAACAGCCACAATTCGTTTCCACTGATATGGTTTTCAATACATACATCAATCTTGAAGCCAAGTTGAATGGTATCAAGTCATTGATCGAAGGCAGTGGTGCGACGAAAGACGATATTTCCAAGGTCGTTACATCCATCGACAGTCTTGCAAGCGACATTGAAACCATCAAGAACGAGCAGCTGGAAATGAAGAATGAGCACTTGAAGCTCAAAGGCGCTGTTGAGCAGTTGCTTATGGCGGTACCTGCTCGGCAACAAGGTGTCGATAACAACGGAGCCATTGCACCCAGCACCGTTAGACCCCTCGGCAAGTATAGCCACCACGAGCCAACGGTCGACCACCCTACTACAAGTGAGTTGGAAGACATCGATATTGCTGGCAACAATGCTGAACCCGGCGTCGGCGAAGACGGTAATCCCCAGAAATGGGGAAAAAAGCAGTTCAACTGGGAGATTGTTGCGTGGCTCGGTAAAGAAGTGCTGGGTGATTTCAATTGGGATGACAAAAAGACTAGGACTTTCCAGGTTAATGTCAAGCCCCTCACCACCACTATCTGCAGTGGCTTACGCTTGAAGTAGAAAGTAGCAAGTGGCACCCGCTGGAAATCGTTCAAAAACGACAGCGCCAAAATTGCTGCTTGCACAGAGTTGGAAGACAGAGCTGTGAACTTGTTTCCACTCAAAGCTTGCACCGGCCAGTGGATGGCACGCCTCTTGTTGGTGGATGCTTGGCGGCGCACGTTGGAAGGTATTTCTTGGCAATGAATGGCAACAGCATGTACTGTAAAATGCAAATAATTTAAATAATTGAAAATTGCTAAAAGATGTAGCGAATTTTGATGAAAGCACGAGTATCGCTGGCGAGCTGATGTAAGTACTTCATTGAAGGAAACTATAAGGTAGATTAAAATGTTTTTCTTCTTGTTCTCTGCTTGTAGTACTTTGGGACAAGATGCCAGCCATGTCATCAACAGCAACAGCAATGCCCAGGTTGAGCAAGGCGCAGACGGCAGTGATATTGAGTAAGCATACATATTGTATTATCAAAACAATTCATTATAGACTCAATATGACACCTTGACCTCTAGCAGTTTGCATGACACCACCATCATCACACCTATCACCAACACCAACACCAACACCATCAGCACAGCTGCAGTGCCATCTTTTGGTCTTGGATCGAGTACAGTGACACCTTCCCTCACGTTTGCTCCTCTGTCCGCCCCATCCACCGGCACCAACGATTCCTCTGTTCTGGCTGACGCTCAACGTGGCCGAGGAAATGGCCAAAGTAAGGAGGATATAATAAATAGAATTGCTCGAATAATCAGTATAGCTCATACCTCCCTTGAAATATAGGAACGGTGCGCGGCCGGGGAAACCGTGGCAACAACCTTAGCAAACGCAGAAGAGGCGAATAAAACAAACACATTTTTTGTTCTCTACTTTATTGACAGAGATTTGGTTCGGCAATTCTTACAATTCTGGCCTTGCTAAAATTGATATTAACTCCCATGGCGACTTGCTCTATTGCATAGTTTACACAACTACTCATGGCTATATTGAAATACTTGGTTTACAATTGTCGCCTTTAATGATTGCATACTTTGATGCTTTAAAAGCTGTCTATTTTGAAAGGAAAGAGTACACATATAATAGCTGATAGAACATTTAGTTTCCGCATATGTATTTCTTGCGTAAGCAAAAATGCACGATTCTCCCTTCTCGCTCAACCAATATGCTCACACCGACCTATAAACAAAGACTCGCTGCCCACAAAGAACTCTACGATTTTGCCATCACTTCGCATCGTAATGGTGACACTTATTGTACTCACGTCTTCCGCGATTTGATAAAGAGTTTGAAAGAGGTTTTCGATAAACCGTTTATCCGTGTATACGTTCACCACGTTCAAGGCCTCCCTAAAAGAACTGCTATGCAGCAACTCATGGACAGAGGTTTCAAGGTACTCTTCCATAAACCTTTATGGACATTCGGTAGTTACGAAACCGAGTTGAATGTTTCGTATTTGGACAACATGTGGGTTGTCACCGACTCATATGGTGTACATCACGAGTATTCCCGCCCTTTGCTGAACAACGACAGTGTTTGGACGGCAGAACACCTGTATGAATTGCACCGCCATTTTGCTCGGTTTACTTCGAAGGACCAGGCCAGAAGGAACAAAAAAATAGAAAAAAAACGAAAGCAAGACATCACCCGCAGAAGGCAAGAGGTGATTGATAGACTTAAGAGAGAGGGAAAGTGGGGAAAATTTCCCTATGACAACCTTAGTGAGATACAGCCTTGGTAATAAAAAGAATATATCTTTTTTTTTAAATTTGATCTATTACTTTCCAGGTTAGAATTACTTTAATGTATCATTTCCATTGTTGGTTGAAGTCTGTTCATTAGCGTCACTGTAAAAAGGTGGATCAGACTAGTTTAAGGATTTTAAACCCGACCGCAAACAGAGATACACACTTTCTCTTTCTCCCAAAATGGATACCTCAAACGTTCCTGAAAATTACGAGTCTTACGATGAAAGCACGACAGTTGTTCTCCCTGCCACAAGGGGAGAACGTGGCCGCATCAGAGGAAGGCCTAACGATGACGAGGTAACGAGGCTTTACATGCTTCAACTCCCCCCTGTGATTGTCAATGGCGCAATTTACGAGGATTTTGCCCTGCGCAATTTCGTCAGACGCATGGGTTGGTTGGTGATTCGCCCTGCTTACTTGGACGATGCAGTTCCGAGAGGGCAGCCCAGGATCAGGGTATATGTACGTTGCAACGTATGTGTCATCGACGGTGTGCGCTCCTTGTATGAACATGAAGCGATACAGGAGATGGTGGAACGCGGATTCGAGGTAGATCTTAAGCCACTTTCATCTTTCGTCATCTTTATTAAAATATGGATATCCAGGTGTTGAAAGAGAAGCCGACATATGCCCCACAGACTGTCCTGCACCTTTATTTTCGGGAAAGCTGTGGTACATTACCGGGGTGAATGGCTTTGTATACAACATATCATCAACGATCATGAACAATCCGCAGGTGACAACGTACCGAGAACTTCTGCAGTTGTTTCGATCTTTTGATCGAAAAGATATGTCGCTTGAAAGGGTGAATGACGACGATGTGCAACGCAGAAGAGAGCGAGATCGCCAAGACGGAATGAAAGCTTGGCGAGAGTGGGCATCGCATCAGCGGCGACAATAAAAGGCTGTAGGTCATTTTGACATGCACATGCAGACACTGCATTAATGTATACTAGTTTATGCTGCTTGACTTATAACCATCCATATCAGAAACTGTTGTGAATTCATCTTTTTGTCTTTATATCGAGCAGAGGGAAATCCATAGGCTTTTCTGCAGAGAGTGAAGTGTGATTATCAGGTTGAGCAATGGCACAAAGTATATCAATAAGTCGTGCGTTATTTCTGTGTGTATTCTAGCTTTAGGCCGCTACGCTTGATCATTATATAGTCAACATGGCTCTTCGTGAATTGGATAGGATTGGATATCAAATCCGCTCTGCATGATCTTGTATATCGAAAAACTAAATAGAGTAAAAGACAATGATATGATAGAATAAAGTCATTTAAATCCCTTTATGAATAAAGCAACATGTGGAGTGAACGGCTGAAAGAAAGCAAATTGGATTTGCATTCGATCCAGTTTTTGTATTTAGCATAGATTCTTTGGATATGTGAATGAAGGATAAAATGAAGAGCTCTGTAATCTTTCGAGTACACAGAAGGAGAGAAAACTAAGTGTAAGGAAATTTTTGTCTTTCTCTAAAAAAAACTACAAAAGTGGCGAGTGCAGGTCTCGAACCTACGTATGCCGGGAGTCGTACCGAGCTTAAGCGCATTCGGGCGTACGACCCAATTGTTTGCAAAAGCAAAATACAGTAATCTGGAATTAAAACTTATTTATAAATAATAAAAAAAAATCACTCACGTGACGACGACGGACGAGTACTGACAGGGTCAAGGTTCTTGCAGCTAATCAAATACTGTTCGATTTGCATCTAGGCCTACTGCGTACTAAAATATATACATTATTACAGTTATTTATGCTGCTGTTTTATCAGATAGTTAATATATATGATATATAAAATTGAAGATTTGTTTGAGTGTCGTTTGTATGGTAGGGCGATATTTTATTTCTGACATCGTGTAAGAAGGAGAGCATGGGTGAAAATTTTTTTTATCCCTCTCTTGTACATCTATACTCTACGCCAAAATTCCGGCACTGGGTAGGAGGGGTAATATAAGGAGGCAAAAATAGCTGAATATAAGCTGAATATACTGCTTGTCATCCAAATATAAAGCTATTTTATAACCACTTTATAGTTCCTGCAAAAGGCAGCTTTTTTATCACATATTCAGCTGTTTTCAACAGCTTTATAGTTGGTTTCCAATTTTGATAATGGGTAGACTGGGTACTGAAGCTTCATCGTGCATACAGAGGTCTGCATAGCATAATTTAGCGCGATCGATTTTGGGCATATACTAAACGGATGAAACAATTGCAGCAGGTTTTGATTATTGTATAGCAGTGATGATTATCATAGTATGGTCATATACAACCGAATTTATTTATTCCATTACTTAAGTTTCGGAAAACATTTACAGAGCAATAGAAAGCATTAAAGGGGTGGTAAAGAATAAATGCGAAGGGTGAAAGGAGTCTTCTATGTATAGGTGTGTGAATGTGGTGCATAAAATCTCTAGATGGTGATGGGGCAAAGGCAAAAGGGTGAATCATGCTGTGTGTGCTAATGAGTCCGCGATTCACTTAAGAAGAACGAAGGTAACCTGCACTGCAGCTAGACAGAAGCAAAAATATGGGTAGCTTTACCGTACCTGAAAAGTTCCGCTTGGACGGTGCCAACAGCGATCGGACAGTGGGCAACCTGCATGCAGCAGTGCAAATGGGGATCTACGCGGATGTTTAGGATGGAAGACCATGCAAAGTACAAACAAGCTATGAATGAGGAAAGAAGGCTTTTAGTGAAAGAAACTGTAGAAAGAAAGTATGTAAACATTACAAAGGGAATACTTACAAGCTTCAACTCGTGTGGATCATGCCTATGATTTTGGATAGGAAAACCGGTCGAATCATGAGCTACATGTACACACGAAATAAAATATCCTTAATAAAAGCTGCAGAGACTTAGAGGTAGTTGAAGAGCGATAAAAGTAAAGAGTGCCTTACAAACCTACGGTATTGGGTCCTTGAGAGAATAGAGTATCGTAGCAGCCAGGAAAGAAGAGAAAAGGAAGAGAAAGAAACAGAAAGAAAGGCGTAAAATACGAAGGAACGATCGATGCGAAATTAACTAACCTGCAATACTGTTAAAGTCATGCTGACCATGCATTAAAAGAGTACAATAAAATGATCCCCTGTAGATCCAGGTACTTGCATTTTATCAAACCTCTTTCCTCCAATACTTCTTGTGCCTACACGATAAAATAACAAAACGAACGTAAATTATAATAACCACTGCCGCTGTTAGTTAATGTTGTATATTGAGAGATGATAATACTGTATAGATGCCTACTGTAAGCGATCTCCAAGCCCAGCGACAACGGCGCATGGCGCAGCGTGAAAATGATGCCCAACAGCAGAACAGTGTCCTGGATCGGCAGCAGCAACAACAACAACAGCATAACACGCTCTTGGATACTGTCCGTAATTTGTAGGCCGAGAACCAGGCCCTGCACGAAAAGGTCGATAGAATTGGCCAAACAGTTGCCAATATGGCATATCGTACTGCCACAGTTGGTAGTGGGGCCCTCGGTGAAGGTCAAGGTGGTGGCGTTGGCGTTGGCCGTCAAGCTGAAGCGCGTGGTCGTCGTGTTCCACTTGTGTCTGTAAGTGCCATACTAGAGAACAGAGAGACAATTGTAAAAAAAAGAAAGTGGTGAATATTAGAACAGTGATGATTGCTAAAAAGAATTCTGTTGTTACAATAAATGTGTTGAAGGATTGTATACGTACACAGAATGAGCGACTGGGCGACGCTGGTCTCAGGCTCGACCTCCCCTTCACAAACCAGGCCAACAAGGATGCCGTGAAGCGCCTTGTCGACTACATCGAAGGCCAAGGCTGCTTCAACTTGGACAAGAAGCAGACACCCATTTTGACAATTTAAGGACGAAGGGGAACGAGTCGCCCGAGACGAAAGCGCGCAAAAAAGTGATGAGAAGACGCTATCAGCGCAGACATAGCGTAAGTAAAGTAATAGGAGGTTTTGTAAGAGTATTGTCTTAACATCTGAAACAGAAATTAGTACGACGACTCAATGTTTTCCAGCAACGTGCGATCGAACTGGAGGAACAGTACCCCGGTGGAAAGTCGTTGCTCCAGGACGGATGTATGTCGGAAGAGGAGACCGACAACGAAAGCAGCAGCACTGGTGTCCTGCGCAGTGGCAAGCGTGTCTCGGTCTTCGTGCCCGAATGGCGTAGTGAGCGGGTAATTACTTTCAAAGTAGATTTCTTTACACGTGAATCTTGACAGAGATGTTGTTTGTAGGCAAACGTCTTTCTGAAAAGCCTTGACGATTTCAGACCGGCTGTGGACGTTGACTCGCAGCCGAACGTGCTTGAACGATCAGTAGCACGAAAGGCAGTTACCTTGTGCTCGGCTGTGCGTGAGCAGCTGCAAGACTGGATGTTTGCTTAAAGTAAATAAAGCGGTTGCCGGCTTATGCTGTGCGGGTTAGGGGTGGGCAAAAATACGTCTGTATAATATGCGTGTGTAAGTGTGCTATTTATTTGGTGGGGAAAGGAAGAAGCAAGAGGCCGCTCGTTTTGAGTAGTTGGTGGGGGGAGAAAGAAATAAGAGAAAGATAGTTTTGAGGAGGGGGAGGAGAAAAAATTGCTTCTCTTTGTTTTACGCCAACATCTTTTTAGGCAACGGAATAACGACTGTTCTACCACTTGCGTGCGTTTGATCGCCGTATTTTACAACTGCCACTTGACTATACAGACGATGAACGGGCACGATGCAGTGCATGTCCTCAGCAAGGAAGTGGCTACGCCATGTCTCCAGATATTCATCCACGAACAACGACTCATTACTGCTGTAAATGCTATGCCAGGGAACAAAGGCAAAAACATGTTCTTTGAGCTGGGCGTCGACCTTTAACTCGTGGCGGAAGAAGTACTGGATTTCGCACGGCCAAGCGATCGGTTCGCCTCGATCTTCTGCTTCATACAGCACCTGTGCGCACGCACCACGCCGCGATCTTGCTTCTTTGCTCCTATAGAGCTGACCCATAATGGTGATTGTCTTCATCTTGTTATAACGATTGTTCACAAACACCCGGCTACCCTGCGCATCTCTGTAATGGTCCAGATGGGTGCCATAAACGGATTGATAAAAGGCCAGAAGGAAAGTATATACTGGGTCAGGCATAAACGTTGCTGGTGCAAAATCTACCGGCTATGCATCTGGTGGTAGTGGCTCGCCTCCAGTGGCCTGTTCAGTACCGGTCGACAGCGCAAAAAATCTGTGTGGATCGAACGCACCACTCGTAGTGTCACCAGTTTGCTTCATCGGCTGCACGATGTCCAAAAAGCGATTCAAGAAGGCGAAATGGCTTGGCTTGTCCATGAAGCGGTCCTCAAACGACCGGACAAAGTCGCGAGCACCTGTCTTTTGCAAGAACTTCTTCATGAACGTCATCTCGAATAAATCCTTCTGGTTCGTATCGATCTCCTTTAAATATCCATTATATCTCTCAAAACTAAAGAGCCAGAAAGCATATAAAGGTCCAAAATCCTCGATCGTTACGTCCAAGTGCATATGCAGATGCATATTTGGCGTGATTTGCTCTGTGCTATATATGCGTTCGACACCACGACAAAAGTCCAGCAAAAACGTGTTGGCTCCTTCTATCTCGTTCATGGTGACGGAAGGCTTGACCAGCAATCGACAGGCGTTTACGAAGCTCAGCCAGTGAGCGAGAAGATGGCAGGGCAGATGGTTTTGCAAGACGAAGGGCGAGTATACGATACACCACGATTTCCAATCATCAGCGGTCATAAAAGAGAAGCCAGCTCCGATCTTCCGCTTCAAGGAAACGTAGTCAGGAGGGAGCACGATGCTGTCTGCCAAAACCTGCATTTCACAAAGGTCCTGCCTGGTAAGGTCGCCGTTTTCGATCCACATCTTGGTCATACGTTTTGCCGTGCCAAGAAACAAGTTGTGCATTGGATCGATGATCGTGCAGCGAACGGGATCGAAGTATTCAAGGCGGTGCAATTTAGACCATCGTGTTCCGGTGTCACGTTCGATCTGTCGGCGAGCAGCAAGTGTCTCGGCTTGTCGCCATTGCTGGGCGTTCTCTCGATTGTCTTCGCGTGTCCGCAATTCCCATTCGTACAAATTGAATCCCGAGTAGTCGATGTCTGATGTGCCAGGAAAAACGGGAAATTGGCGAGCGCACTTATGGCAAGCACAAGTACTTGCGTGCGAGGTGAATCCACTTGTTTTTCTGGCGGCAGGTATATCACAAGCATTGAGTAGGAGTGCCAAACGTACTTGCGCTCCGTCTGGACACTCATTCGTCCCGATCGTTTTCCAGTCATACCACTGAAGCAAATCATCAACCAATGGGCGCAGGTAATGATTCATGTCAGATGTGCTGGGTTCTCGAGGACCTGGCATTACTCCAACAAGTATAACGTTTTCGGTTTTGTAGCGCTCAGATCGGGGGAGATTATTGACAGTTAGGTAAACTGCACCACAGGAGTAAGTCGAATTTATGAACGGGCCAAACCAGTCAACGTTGAGCGTAAGCAAAAGCGATCGAATCTCTTCGACGAATCGACGACCAGCACGATCAACAAGATCTCGCCACATGTCACCATCATAAACGTCAAAAAAAGCATTTGCCACACTTCTGCGATCGCGCCATGCTTCGATCATTGCTTCGAATCCCGGTCGCTTGAACAGTCGCTCAATACTCGCAGACAAGGGCTGGTAAGCAAATTTTTAATCGGTAACAGGCTATTACCCGTGGATCGAAACAGTGCTTGACCACAGAGGCGGTTGTAACGGATATCGTCATTCGTGCATGTGCGCGGGCAATCTGGAGTCAAAAGGTAAATGCTATGGCATTTAGTTCAAGATACATAACGACGCAGGGAATCGATCTGGGAAGAGATGCCAGTGATTCGACGCAAGGTAGCAAGAGAGAGAGAAAGGCGGTCGGTGGACGGGAGCGGAAGATCTTCGAGGAGGAGTCCACAAAACTCAATAAGCGCCGTTGACATATGCTCAGACATAAGGTGCAGCTGGAAGAGGACAAGGAAAACAATGACAAGGACATAGGGATGCGAATATCCCGAAAGCAATGATGTGCGTGCAGGAGAACTTGTAGCATCTTTTGGAAGGTATGAGAAATTTTAAACGATTGTAATAAAATGGGTTGCCTTGGACACATATTAGCATATACACACCTCCTTCCTCGTCAATGCTGGCTGTCTCAATTACATTGCCATTGTCACCATGATCTCCCATTCGACATCGTCTGCATCAAGCAAGCGATCGTCGCTTGCTATTGATTCCTCTTCTTCCTCAACCCCAAAGACAGTGTCCTCAGCAGAGAACGATAACCGGCGAACGGCAGCAACAGCTATATACGTTCAACTATGATTATTTTTTACTCTTTACTACTTTTCGATCGCTTATCTCAGCATACCAGGAGAACGGGAGGGAGAAGGCTCATTCAAAACGCCATCGTCGATATCCATAACATCGATATCCATATTATTCGCTGATGCCGACGGTGACGGTTGGGAGGGTGAAGGCTGCTCACCTTCAAATGTAGCTATAATTGCACTCACTGTAATACGAAATATTTTATTAATACAGTGCCAACACTTGATATCCTACATCAGCAGCCATACCATTGTGCGACATTCTAGATCTTGCAGCATTCACAGAACGTTGAGTATGCTGTTCTCTTTGCAAGCGGGTAACCTCACGGAAGCCAAGAACAGTGCTTCTGCTACATTCTGGGCAAAAGCATGCAACTAGCTCCGGATTATTCTCCATGACGAGATGGGAATTAGAAAAAGAACAATGATTAAGACGATCGCTCTCTCTTTTCTTTTCTTTTCTTTTGTAAGAGTACACGTGTCCTTTCTTCTAAATCATTCCTGCATTTTCCTCTTATTACACATAATAAAAACGAACGATGTATGTTTCTGCATCAAACACATTGATGCATTGCTCTAGTACAAGCTACACAACACAAGGAGCGGAATAGAGAAAACGCATATATAGGGTATTTAAGTATATGGATCTTTATTGTTGTTAGAGAGACAAGTAGGTGTGCTGCATCATAATGCATGAATTAGATTCCTGTAAACCTAGGATATAGGGGCGCTCATAAAAGAGCAAGATGAGAAAGTAAAGAAAAGTGGGTGGGGGGTACAGCCCCCCGCCTCTGGCGCTGTCCGTTTTCATAGGAGTAACGTTTGTAAAATCATAGAGCAACTCGTTGAATGCCCTCTGCATCAGTACACTGGTAGAGAGTACAATCATAGATGCACATGAGCTACCTGGTGCATATCTACTACATTTAGTATATGCACTCTGATGTTTTTCCAGCTCATACCCCCAAAGCTTGACATCCAACTATAAAGCTTTTTTTGAACTACTGAATATTTGGTTTTTCGCGCGGTGCCGTAAGCACAAATATAAGGTAATGTGCACTGTGGCTGCTCATGTTTGTGCCATTGAATATCTACATGTTGGTTTTTGCTCGTAATTGGGCAGCTTCTCATACTCACAATCCTTACGAGGGACTTTCTTGCTTCTATAACAAGTGTGATATTGGGTAAAGCTGCCTCAGCTATGAATGAGCCTTATGTATATATTTTCCGCTACTTTCACTGGCATAGACTGATGTGTTTAGAATAAAGGTATGGCTGAATGGGTTGGGGAATGACGAAACATTAATTCTTAGCTGTCCACGAACAATGCTGTTACTGCTACAGCTCTTTTTTTTTGCATTAGTTTAACGGAAGTACCTACATTGTATACTTATGATATGACCACGAGGCTAATTGGAGCACTGCTGGGGAATTTTATTACTGCTTTCAAACTGTGTATTTTACTGCGTAGGTCTACTATTGTTGCTTACGAAGATGGTGCTGGTTTATAACAAGAACATAGAGCACGTATAGCTGTAGAAAATAGTGTAGCAACTATGAACGTTTTGCCGGTTTGGCTCATCATATTCTAATAAAATCGTCCATATATAAATCCATAAGCAAATATGAAAATCACCTTCACATTGAATAACGAATAATGGAAAGACAAATAAAGTGATTGCATTCACAATGAAACAACCAATAAGAGGATAATGATCTAAAATAACGACAAATAAAAAGAGTACATGTTGAATGAAACAACAATTCAGAGGGCAATGCTTCTAAAACAAGGGCTAATGAAAAAGCTTCTTTTCTAACAGACTGTGGGGTCTTCCTCCAGTCAGACGCTAGAAAAAGATGGCTACAACCCAATTATATTGTTCCAAGTACAAAATGAATGTGATCTGATTGGGTGTTGAAAAATCTCATCTGCTAGAATATAGAGGTTGAGTGTAAAACAAGCACAATTGAAAACTGGTTGTCCCATGTTTTTTTTCCCCGCTCTTTTAAGTTTTATTGAAGAATATGCCTTTTGTTGGTGTGGTAGCTGGCGTAATTCCTCCGAAATTCGAAGCGGTGCGCGGCGCGAGCGTCCTTGGATGAGCTTTTCTCTGAACGTAGACGGTGGTTTTATGACGGTACGTGTTTGTTTTTGTTTTTGTTTGAGTGATGTGGTAAGGGATACGTGTGGTCATGTCAGGATGTTACTGTAATTGTGGTGTTACTAATTGTGATGCTAAAGGTGTGGGCAGGAAACCCAGAAGTAATGGACGCTATTCTGGATCTTCAGCTTGTGGAGGGGATGTCTGTTGTGTGCCAGGGTGAAGTCAAACTAAGCAGACGGCGAAACCAAGATGGGCTTTTCAACACCTATGTTTCGATGTCCGCGGTGCAGCTTCGCAGAGGGGTGCAGTGGCAAGTCGAGCTGGAAGGGGACAGTGGGCGTGTCGACAGCAATCCGGCAACAAACGAAAGGGTGCTGAAAAGGCTTCGACACGCCGAAATTGTTCCCAGGGAACTTACGGAAGAAGAAAAGGCCAGAATAGACACTATGACTGCGGCTGCTACGGTGGAAACATTTGACGAGTTTGGGTGCGTTGGTGCGGCCCGAGCTGCGTTGAACTTGGTGGAGGCCCTGGGCCGAAAGGTTCTGGAGCCGGAAAGCATTAAGCAAGAGGATATCCAACGGGCAATCGGACATCTTGTCCCGAGAGGCAAAGAACAGCAATTTTTCGACTCATTTATGTTGAGTTTAGAATACAACAGCAACAAAAACAACAACAACAACGATAACGACTACAACGACTACAATGCTTACAGCAACGACGACGACGACAACAACGACGACAACGACAACGATAACGACGATGACAACGACAACAACGACAATAACGACAACAACGATGACAACGACAACAATAAGCATAAGAAGAACAAAAGCAAGAACAAGAACAAGAACAAGAACTAGTACGATGGATGGCTGGGAGCGTTCGTGATAGTCATGCTTTTGTTTGGTAAAGAGGAAAAAGAGAGCAGTGCTGTTCTTTTTCAGCGGCACAGTCACTCAAAGACAGCAAGAACATCACGGTTCACTATAGTCTTTGTCATCTTCAGATGTCATCGTTGTTTGGTTATCCATATGTACGTTGGTAATCAAGCCAAGTTATGAAATGGAGATCCTTCTGTTTTTATTTCTTTTACTGGTGCTCTCACACAATCCGTCGTATCAGTAATCCGACAAAAGAACTGCCGTTCACAGCACATCTTCTAACCCGCTCAAAACATTATGCTTTCTTTTCAAAATTGATCGTCTTTATTTAAGAATTCCATCCTTCTAGTCCAACACTGTTGCCTTCAGCAAACAAAGACCGGCACTCTGAATCATATACCCACACCACTTATCCACCACCAGCATGCCCAACACAACAGATCCTGCCCAGCAATCACTTTTGACCACTTACCTGGATCCTCACACGTAACAATGATACAAAAACGTAGTATCTACATTACAAATCACCGCCGCAAGTTAGAATATGGCTCAAGCTCATCCAGTAATACACATAGAGTACCTTATCACACCAACAGCATCTCGATATGGCTATATGGTCAACGGCCTTGCACTTGTTCCATAAACAAACATAATAACCTGCCCATCCAAATTCCTCTGCCACCGTCGCCAATACCCACAATGTCTGCCGTCAACGATCGCGCGTGTACATGCACTTGTTCATCCTATCAATCATTCTTGCTTTTTAATAAAACAATCCACAAGTGCTGACCAGCTAATATAAAGGAAGATCTTAAATTAGAAAAACTTACCATGTGGATCATAACTTCGGCAAACACAGTAGGAGCCCACAAGGGAAACGCATGTGTCCGAACAAAAGCATAGTTCATCCATGGAGAGCCACAGCAACAACACAGTCTCAGCCTTGATCTTGATAAATCCAAAACGGCGGATGAAGGCATACAGCTTAAGCATACACAGGAAAGCTATGAGAAGAACAGGTCGTCCGTTGAAGCGGCAGAGCAGCATCTATGCACAGCATCGTTGGTAAGCACAGGAAAACCAAGAAACAAGACCGTCCAGCAAAGGAGCCTTGGAAACAAAGACGCCAAGTAGAGCCACAATACGTTCGGCAGAGTTTAAGACACCCAAGGAAAGGAATTCGGCTGTACAACGAGTAGAATATACACGTCCGCGCTCTTGGATAGTGAGAGAAATGTGAGATGGAGCAAGTCAACGTATACGACAGCCAAAAAAAACCAGAGTATGTATTGCAGGTGACAGAGCAACATGGGCGCCGGCATTGCTGGATTCTATTATACAAGAGCAGAAAAACGTCACCACAGATGACAGCCAGCACGATTGACGATAGTGACAGGAGAAAAAAACGTTCTGTTGACGGCAAGGACAGAGCAGCCATAGCAAGTAAAGATGACAAAGAAGCGTAATGTTCGAGTGGCGTAAAGTGAGATGCAGCAAGCGTGACCAGATGGCAATGAAGGACGTTGAAAGATGAAGCAATGTTGAGTAATAGTGAGCAGCAAAAGAACTTTGGTAAAAAAAAAAAGGCAAAGTAAAAAGTAAAGCAGGAAGAAGAAGAGCGAAACAGCAGCGGTACCCTCTTGCTTCAGGTATATATACCGTTCTGGGGCCCCGAGCCCATCGGAAGAAGATGCTTTCCCATACATGCAGTGGTGGTAACCATGACAACCGCGGCTTTACCCCTTTCAACCCTTTTCCCATGCTTCCTTTCTTTCCTTTACTGCTTTTGCTACGCCCTTCCTTTTCCATTACTCCTTTTCGTTTTCACGCTGTCACTCCGCACGACTTGTTTTTTCTTTTTTACGTGTGCTACGTTCTTCCCTTTTCGTTCAGTCTTGTCATTTTCCCACCCATTCCGTTTTCGTTCACTGTTTGTCATTTCCCCCCGTTCCCTTACCGTTTCTACGTTTTTCTTTTCGTTACCATGGTTCCCTTTTCGTTTCCGCGTTCCCTTTTTGTTCAATCTTGTCATTCTCCCACCCATTCCTTTTCCGTTACTATGTTCCCTTTTCGTCACCGCGGTTCCCTTTTCGTCCTCTTCCAAAAATAGTTTGTCATTGTCATTTTGTTTTCCCCTGCTTAAACGTGTCCGACATAGATTTAAATAGTCTATATACATGTTTTAATTAGGTTTCAATTACTGTATTCTCAAACTCTTACAAACAACAAGCTTATTGTTTTACCAAGTGAAGTATCATTAGTTGTTTTTCTTGCTCTTTTGGTTGGCTCATTTTGATCTGAATTATTTTCTGTATAGCGCTTTCTGGTATTAGTGGTAGAACTTCTTGACAATAATTGCTTAAGTTTCTCTGGAGGACGACTGTCGCCTATGTTTTTCTTTTTAGGCGCTTTGAAAGGACTGCATATATAAAGCGTAGAATAAGCCAGATGCTAACTAGCTTCGATGCAATACACACCCTCACTACGCTAAGAAGAAACTTACGAAGGCGCAGATATCTTATAACGTATATTTTCGCCAGCAAGAACATGTTCCAAGTTACTCTCTTCATTTCGCATGTAGTTGAAAAGTTCAGGTAACGTTGAAAGAATCGGCTTGGATTGCTGAACGAAACGGTAGATATTACGATGGAATGATTCTACGCCGTTCGTTGTTCTTGTGGCATTGAGTAAAAGCTCTTCATGCATCGTCGTTTTCGAGCGAAAGATCATACTAGCAACGCCAGGTCGAAGCCACCATTTTAGCCATTTTGAAGTATGCGGGAATTCTTTCTCCATTTGAGCGGTTACAACATCAAACATCTGTTCCACCGTCGTCTCATACATGACCCTGGTGTATTCCAAGAATATCCTTCGGCGTTCCACTGGTACAACATCACCCATTTTTTGTATACGTTCAACCGACTGTTTCCAGTGAAAATAGCAACCCTTTAAGTAAGTCTCCCCACTTTTGGCACCGGGAAAAATGTTGCTGAACGCGATAAAAAAGCCGGTTTTTTGCGCTTGGGAAAAGTCCATCATTATCCCGCACATAGATGGTTCACCGTCGTCGTTTTTCTTTACATTCAAAACTTTGAACATTGTCGTGAAGAACGAAATGAAGTTTTTAGTGGTTAAACCACCAAGAACCGCTTGGAAAACTGGAACATACTTTTCCAGTTTTTCTTGATATATGACAGAGTTGCAGAGGTAATAGCCGTCGCCAAAGCAGGAGTAAGTGACATCCATTAGAATTGGTTGGCGGCTGTAGTCAACATCGCCCAGAATGTACGGCGAAGCGAAAGGAATGCAAAAACTGTCAGGATGGAGGTCGAGTGGTGAACGAAGATAACCGGGATACTCGACATTGAGCTTCATTACTGAAGCAGTTACTGTTTCGATGCTGGGTATACCTTTAGCGTTGAAGCCATTGGCTGCAAGGATGTTGCGGCGGTGATACGCAACTTTACCAGCATGCTGTAAGTCGCTGTCGATCTCGCGCAGAGGTTGTGGTGGGTTCATTGGTCTTTGAGAGCTGGTGCCTATAACAAGAGCCATGGGTCTTTCCTGCGGGGATCGCAAAACTCTCTCGGCAAGTTTGGCGACGGAGCTCTTGCTGATATGAACGGCTTCATGTCGACTGTGCGAATGCACACCACAATGTTCGACACTGCCCACACTGCCAACGAACTTGAAGTGGACACGAATTTTACAGGGAATATGTCGCAACTCCGTATCGCACTTGACACACTTCTGCAGCTTGATAAGTGCTTTGGTGGCTGGCTGACTTGACCGGAAGGTTCTTTCGTACGCAGTCGTCTTTTACACATTGCACGGCACCGAGACAAACCTTCGTGATGCTAACACCGCTTTCAGTTTTCTTTTGATTTTGCTGATGTAGCTGCCAGCCGTTGTCAGTGAGTCGCGCATAAGTTTGGTCCGTTTTACGAATTAACGTGACCTGCTCAATCTCATCGCCGTCGATCCATTTTGTAAATTCAGATCTCATGTTGTAGGACATGGTACGTAAAGGTTGATGTACGTAAAAATTGGTGTCAGTGAGTTTGTATGACTAGTGAGTGTAAGTAGTCAAGGAACGCACTCAGAAAAAAGAGACCGGTTTTCCTGTCAGAGCGACTGCTTTTCCTGCAATCGCCGAAAATGGAAGCACCCGTGATGCGTAGTGTAGTTGTATCTTTCGGAACATGGGCTGTTGTGCCCTGGCAAGAATAAGGAAGAGTTGCTGTCAATTATTTCTCTTCCCATAAAATTTAAAAAAATGGTCAGCAGACGGTGAGATATTACTACACACTTCGCTTTTTTTTATGGTAAAAGAGAGGAAGAGAGACTAAATTATAGGAATTGGGATGTTGTAGTGAAATCTTTGTAGTCATCATCAACAGACCTCTTCGCGATTTCACCCCTGAAGAACGCGCATTCAACGATGAAAAGGGAAACTGGAAGAAGTTTTCAATAGACCTCAGAGAAAGAAGTTTATTGACGGTGGATGAATTCATCGATAAACTCTTTCGTGATGACATCGATCATAGCCCTTGTCGATCGGTGCATGGCATAGGTGGCGATATGTACAGATATTGTCAAACCTGTGTGGAAGGGCTTAGCGGTCTCGGTTCTCCTTGGCAATATTATCGACTAGGAAGATTTACTCGTGATGTATGTATATGCACTATTACTAGCATAACATGATGCTTAAAAATGATACTTTTCTTTCCACAGGGCCAAGTAGTCGAACTCCCTGTTGACCAAACCACTCCTGCGCCAACCAACCCCTCGTTGTTGCGGAATTCAAGCCTTGGACACAGGCAGACACTGTTTCTGTACCCGCTCAGATCAGTTAACGAAGAGCTAGTCCATGCTGTGCACAAGAGGTTTAAACCTACCGTGTCACGCGAATGGAAGCGCAGTGCCCGGGATAAGATGCGAGCAAAAAACTCGTATCTTAGTGGCAGCATCATTGGCCGTTCAAAACGGAACCGTCGCAATCGCCGCCGCCGTGATGAAAGACTTTAAGTTTTTGCGCCGCTTTCCTCTTTCTCACCTGAAAAAGAGACCTTTATTCCCTCCCCTTCCCATCCTCTTCTCTCATAAAATCACATGTTCCGTTACAAGCCTCTTTCCAAAACAGATTTTACTTTAGGCAAACGAGAATCCTTCTCATATTTGCATCTTATAGAGGCAAAGGTAATTTGCTCGGAAGTGTTTGTGTAGATAATCCATTCATAGTTCGGGAGCGTATGACAAGGTGCGTGACTGTTTGTGCGAGTCAGCCCTATAAGCATCGAATTCGAAACGATTACGTACGCGTTTTGTTCAGCAACGTCCTTTTCTTTTTCTTCACTTTTGACACTACACGCCACTCTGTGCTTTTCTCACTCGACGGAACTGGCGACGTCGACTACCAACCACTCGACTTGCCAGCACATCCATTATTCTGGCTTCGGTATCGCTATACCACAGACTGTAGAAAACCTGATTTCTTTTACTTATTGCCTACTTCCATTTTCCTATACATTGTATACTCCAATCCTTGTCATTTCAAGTCATCACTTCTCCCAAACAATCTACCCTGATGTCAGCCAGCGTAGCCCACTGTATAGCTTAGATGTCTGCCCCTGGCTTCTCCTTGTTACTTTCTCTCTACTTTGAGGGATAGTGGCAGCCTTCGTGCGGCGGCGCTAGCGTTATACACGGCTTGTGAGCCCCGGCTCATGGAGGGCTTCCTTGTGGAGCACTTCCGTTGGTGTGATTATTATGTCATCTTGATAATGAATCCCTGGCTTCTCTTGCCTTCGTGCGGTTCTTGTCATTATAGCATATAGTCGCAGGCATCATGTTCGAAGAACCACTTCTACTTGTCTTTCTGTGTATTTCACACACTGCGTGTCTTTCACATCCATTCCTTGATACACTCTATATTTTTTCCCATCGACTCCTTAACTTCCTTCACCCATCTCCGTTGTGTAGCAGCCTACGTAAGTGATACATACGTTTTTATTTGCTATCGGGATATACGCCTATCCACAATGAAGTTATTAATGTATAATATTTGATTGATTGAATTTCCAAGGAGCATATAAAGCAACAGTGGCGTTCCTATGCATCAAGAACGAAGCATCCATCTTGTCCCTCAGTACTGGTACAAATCCTTCATGAAAAAACGGGATTGTTATCCTTTCGTGGTTGTATCTCTTCATAACCTCTGCTCACTATATTGTTTACCCCTTCATTCTGAAAATCCTTGTATTATACCATTACGATATTCCCTTTTATCTTACCGTATGACCAGGTTCTATTGTAAACATATTTACTCTGAAGATCATCATTAGAATGAAATATTGATTACCATCTTATTTCCTTGTATCTGCTCTTCGCTTGTCTTGTCTTGTTACCTAATATTATGTGCACATTCACAACCCTTACTGGGATTTCCTTGGTTCATGACTAGTGCGAGTACGCCAAGTTTTAAGCTAAGCTACCTCAATGATTACCGAAAGCACATGTACGTATCTCTCACTGGCTTTACTACATAGAACGTACTAGTATCGTGGCATCTAGCAAGATGATCAGTAATCAAAGCAAACTTCATCAATCAGTTCAAGGTAAGCGAGAGGGTTTGGTCAAAGGCTCTTTTTTTTTGCAATGGCTGCTCTTCTTGCTCTTACTGCTGCAGATATTTTTCACTACTTGCTTTTGGGAAGGTACAACATCGGTTTTTTACTTTTGGATATATGTAAATAACCTATTAAGCCATAGTAGGAACCCGTTGCAGTACTTATCACTGCAATTTACCAGGCGAGGTTCTATCATCAGTAGTTCCTATGGTTCAAGCTGGCAATGATTTCGGCACGAGGATATAGTGTAACAATCATGTTTGTAGTTTGCCCGTTTGGCTCATTAATATGAATAAAACCGAATATATAAGAACCATACACAAGTTTGAAGCGAACAAGATGTTGATGTTTATCGATATAATGACAAATAACATGATCAAAGTTGCTTTTCCAGCAGGGTGTGGTGTTTTTCCGCCAGTTATATACGCGAAGAAGACGGCTACAGTCCAATGATATTGTGCCAAGTGCAAAATCGTGCACTCTTAATTGGACGTTCGAAGGAATATAAGAAACTTCATTTGTAGTCGATGCGCTAAAATATGGAGATTATATGGAAGAATATGTCAAAAACATGGAAAACTGAATATGATCAAATCCATGTTTGCCACCTCCATATCAATTTGCGAGAAGAGAAACGCGGTGAAGGATACGAAATCTTATCGCTCGTAAGTTGCCAGCAGCTGGAAATTTATTCGTGAAAGTGCATGACTATTCCTAGCAATCATACCAGCAGCAGGCGCAGAGCAAACCGACAGCATGAAGAGGAGCAGCAGCCGCAAGAGCCTCCGGTATCTTATGGAGTCGAAAATAAGATGAATAATAAGAGGAGGAGTGTCCGGAGGGCAGATTGACGTTCTCTTTTGCAGAAAGCGTTATGGGAACAATGCGGGCAGAAAGCGGTGAAGAGAGCATCGAAGGCTTGCAGCGCGAGCTGGACATTCATAAAGAGGTTGATGCCAATGACATTCCAGAACAACGATTTTGTTTTGTGTTTCTATGATGCGATAAATCGTCACTTTTCTTATTCATTCTTATTCTACCGTAATGCGTCAACAAGCGTCCGTTTCCTATAACATTATAGCTATGCTGAGCTCATCTTTTTGTTTCCTTTTATACACAACTGCCGAAATACGTTTTTGAAAACTACGTCTAATTCAAATATATGTGATATCGTTACTTTTCCATGAATCTATACGTCTTCTCCTTTGTTCTATACATTTATATATATATATATATATAACTGACCCACTGTTTGCTAACTTGTCTTATCATAACCAGCAGATGATTGCTTTTACAAAAGCTATTTGACGTATTTTTGCCTGTACATCCACGTCTATTCAGCTACATCATATAACGCGTTTTTTCATGTTGCAGAATAAATACCGCTGTAACTATATAATTCTGACACAGCTTTGCCAGCTGGCTATGGATGCGATTTATAAACTGATGGTTTCCATTAGCCTTCAACAGGATCTTGAACAAACGTGCATAACGAAACCTTGTCTGTGGGCGAAAATCGCGCGCAGTGGGAATTTTGTGCGCCAGTGGTGATGTCCACGGTGTCCACGGAGGACGGAGGAGACAGCCAATGAAAGCGTAGAATGCAGCGAAGGCAAAAACGACAGCGGTGGCGAAAATCCTTCTTCTTACAGATGTTTTATTTGCTATTTCCCAACCACGAATAATGTACAGCAACCAGCAACAGCAACTTTGATAGATACACATCACGCAACGAACAGACGCTTTTATTCACTATAAAAATAACGATCGTCTTTAAATCAGGCCCTGAATAAAGAAAGCAGCAACGAACACGCGCTATTTTTTTTGTTGTTCGCATTCGACATTGTTATGACAAAAAGAAGTTGAGGCTAATGTAAGACGCAAGTACAAGTATGATATATTTAGAAAAAAGTCACCAGGATAAAAAAACCATACAGAGAAAGAAATGAAAGGGAGAGGAGGAAGAGGGAGAGAGCAGAACTGGAAGTATTATCGATGGAAGTGGAAGGTCGTGTTTTTTAACTTTCTAAACAGTGACATAGCATTGCTTTCACCATTGCGGTTTCTGTGGGAGAGCCACTGAGCATACTCTTGCTTCGAACCTAAGGGCGGTACGGAATCATCGATGGCTTGACACATCTGGAGCAAGCCAGGTCGAAAGTCAACAGTGTGAAACGCAGCCCAACAGTAGGGATAAACGGTGCGTTGGATCGCAGGGTTACAGGCATTCGTCTCTCTGCCATGGCTCAAGGCATGATTGATTGGTATTCCACAAGTCCAGCATACACCTGGCCTATGAAACAAAGAAGACAAAAAGTCAGTGTTGCTGCAAGAAGAAGGGGGTAAGCATGTGTCATGGCTACATACCGGTATTTCATGCAATGGCCGAAGAAGTTCACATGCACGCAGAAGCACCGCAAGCAGTAGTCGTCATGTGCTGCCTTGTCAAGAGCATGCGAGCCACATTGTTGCACACCACGGACGCGACAGACGACACATTCTTCGTCGGCTTCTTCGCATAGGCTCAGGAACTCGTGTCGGTTTCTGCGATGCTCTTGGTGCTGCTGCTGGGCGCGAGTATAGCCACCAAGAGAATGGATGCTCGGGCCTTGTTGTTGTTGTTGGCTGCTGCTGCTGCTGCATGCGTTGGAGGTAAGCCTAACAAAAAGGAATGACACGTTTAATACAGTATAATTTTGACAACTGATTAAAAAAAACATCATAACTTACAGGAGAGGGAGCAGGCAGATCGAATGGAATTTCCTGTCGCGATACTGTCTCGAAAGCAGCAGATGACCCCACAGACGATGTTGAGCTCTGCCGTTGGAGGGGTGATGATGATGATGAGGGTCGTGGTATTTGTGAGCGGTTTGGAGCAGCTCTAAAATATCGGAAACTGCCTGGAGAAGGTGATAATGGCGGTGGTGATCGAGATACAGTGAGGTCCAGAGCACGTAACGGAGTATCGTCGCAGATGCTACACTTCTCGAGCCTGTTTTCCGCGAGGCAGTTCAGAAATGGAGCACCATCAAGATACTGCTGCATCTCAAAGCGAAGGCAGGTGTTTGACTGTTATAAAAGTCTCGTATTAGCAACTGTAATCATACTGACATCCATACAGATTTTTATTTAATTTTTGTTATTTACCTGTGCAAACGCCATCATCTGTTCGCGGTCGGCGATTTTTGTTCTTTCTTCATCCCGTTGGCTTAGCCTGCCAAGTCTTGCCTCTTCTTCTTCTATGCAATAGTACGCCCGCACACTGAAGGCAGCCCATCGCGACCAGCACGACCTGTTTGTTGGGCATAGTCCAACAAACTATACGGCAACTTCCAGTGGAACACGAAGCGTACATTGGGGGAATCCATGCCAACGCCAAATCCGCTCGTAGTGATCATCAGTCCCCCGTTTGACATCCAATGCTGCTGTCGTTCGGCCCTCGTGTCTTCGTCCAGATCGGCATGGTAAAACTGTGCTATAAGGGGCGGTACCGGAAACGGGCTTGCAAGTATCCAGCGAAGTCAATGACCTCTGCCTTGGTAGTACAGAAAAGAATGCCACGTTGGCCCGCAAAATGGAGCAGATGTTTTGCAATGACGTGTATCTGGTCGTCGTTCTGCTTCGAGGGGTGGGCGCACACCTGGTAGGAAAGGTTTGGTCGTTCTGTAGACTGGGCACGGATCGCTGCGAAATTTGATGCGTAGAGGATTCTGGCTTGGTCCTCCATGGTCGGTGGCAAGGTGGCGGTGAGGAGAAGGAGAGGAACAGGAACGAGGCGATGGACTTGCAGCTTATGCATTGCAGGACGGAATGACTGCTGCGTCAGACCAAGGTGGCACTCGTCAACAACAAAACGTACCAAACGATGCTGTTGTTCGTAGCAGTACTCGACAAATGCGGTTCTCGCTATTGCTTCCACTGGCGCAAGGAGGATTTGGCTGTCCGGTACTGTGGGTGCATTGTCTATATAAAGATATGAAGAAGATAAGTCCATGATCAGACTTGAATACAATTTCTCTTCGTCTTTTTCTCAAATGTAATACAATGCTACTAACCTTGCCATTCCGCAACAGAAATGCCGCATTCTGTCAAACGACGCATGTGGTCAGCGACCAGCGCCACAAGAGGAACAAAGACGATCGTGAGTTTGTCTTCCTCAAGGAGCGGGGGCAAAGAAAAGAGCACACTCTTGCCCATACCCGTTGGCATGATGACCAACAAGTCCAGCTTGCGGTCCATAATGAGAGGTATGGCGAGTGCTTGCTCGCGCGAGCGAAAGCTGGCCGTTGGATCGCCGAGTAAGGTTCGTAAAGCTATAAGATGGGCAGGGAGGATTGCTAGAGGTGATAATGACAGTATGCATGATAGGAGAAAGTTGATGAGTACAAGGAGAAGGATCGTAAGCCAGAAGCCATGGGTAGCAAAAAAATAGAGGTATCTTACGTTTATATTTGATGGTAGGAGCGAAGTCCTTGGTGGCATTGTGATGCAAATTTACAATGAACTGCTCGGTGACCTGATTGAGCAAGCGGTTTATATGTTGCGGAAGGTGCGGAAATGGAGGGCCGGAAGCCAGTTGCTGTTGCTGTGGTTGTCGCTCTGGTTGTGTTGTGGGTGCCGCAATGGCATCACCAATATCTGTATATTAATGAAATACTCAATCAGTTCAGATCTTCCTTTTTTTCTTTTACGCTGTTAGATAGGATGGACTCTACGTACGCAGTAACTTCTGCCATTCTCGCGAGCAGAGGTCAAACGTGTGGATCGATTCAGTCGTTAGAAACCATAAATCGCTTGACGTTCGAGCATAGTGCATGCCCGCAACGGAAGAAGAATGTGCCGCCTGCATGTCGAAAAACCCAGGAACGAATCGATTTACAATTCGTCGGCGCCCATCTTGTTGCTGCTGCTCGTATGTTGTTATATCGTCGTCGTTGTTGTCACCTTCGACCGTGTCAATGTCAGGATGGGCAAGCAACTCTTCTGTTGTTTCCAACAGATGAGTTCCTTGTTGGAGGTGGTGGCGCATGAAGAAGGTGGCGACATGGCGATAGGCTTGAAGCCCGAGACCGGCACCCATATGGCTTTGGGTGTACCTAGGAAAAAATGGCAAGTACGTGTTGATCAGGTCCTTCTCTCTCCCTTTTTGCCTAATTTTTGTGTGATATAATGTAGATAGCATACCTGTGCAGTTCTTTACTGAACATAGGGCTGGTCACGACTTTGCCGTGCGCAACAAAAAGGAAGTTCTGGTAGTTCTCGATACCAACAACCACGTCTGATGTGCCCATCCGGGTTTGATAAAAGGCAAAGCTACAAGCGAATGCAGACGAGTTAGCGATACAACGGTACTATGAATTAAGCACTCAAACAACAGCCAAAAAAAAACCATTGAAATATACACATACCGTTCGAACGGGCGCACCAGTACAAGGTACATCAGGACAATCTCGCTTAGCTCCTTGTTGAGGAAGCGTGCGACATAACGATCGGCAGTGCCTCTCGAACGACGCTTGTAGTAGTACTGAACCAGCATGACCTTTTGTCGGTACCAGTACATGCCACGTTTGGCCCCACGCGCGGACGAACGAATTGTCGTGCATGCGAGCTCCTCACCTCGCGCCGGTTGTCCACTTGTAATGTGAGCCAGAACCATGATCATGAGGATCAATTTACGACATTGGGACAGCCACTCGTACAGAACGGCGAGATTCCACAAGAGCTCGCCGCTTTCGGTCACGCTTGCAATAAATTCGTCACTGTGTTGCACTGCCAGGCGCCTGAACAAGACCTTTAGGTAGTCGTCGTTCGCTGTTGGGTTGCCGGGTCTGGTGAAGAATGCGATGGAGGGATCGGCTGTCCTGGTATCGGCCATTATTTCATGGAAGCGATCACAGAAAGGCTCCTGCAAGGTATAGCCGCGCAATACATGGTCTTGTAGTTGCGTGCGACAGTCGACGAGGAGGCGGCCGACACCAACCTGGATATTGGTCAAATCAACGCTTGTTGTCCGGTAGCGGATGGTCCTGAGGTCATCGCTGTCGATGTAAATGGAAGGCTCGACAGCTTGATCGGCTGATGCCAAGGTTGCGGTACGCATGGTTTCGGTGAGCATGTTCATTACGGTAGGTTCGCCATCATTGAGCCAGTACAAAACTTCCCGTGCGTCCTCACTAGCAAGTCAAACAGTTGTAGATATAAGAATTGGGCAGGTACAAGTATATACGCATATGTAATGGAACGATACTCACCGACTGATCGTACGATCAGCATCTCGGAAGGCTGGATCATTGAGTGCTTCAACATTTTCATATTCATCAGCAAACTCGTCATAGGCAAGTTGGGGCATGGTAAAGGTATCAGAGTCCATGGTCACAGCAGAAAGAATAGATTGGGATAAAAAATTGGGGGATAACTGACTGACAAAATCTTTGTGCATGAGGGGTATCAGTATTCTGTCAGTTTATGTGGTCCTAGAATCATTGCCACATGCTTATAGAGAAGCGGGTAATATGAGAAAATGATGGCGCCACCATTGCTGCCGTTTTTGTGAATATGAAGCTCGTGTAAATGCATTGACTTGATGTCAACTTTGATCCGAATAATAAAAAAACACATGCCTGTTGGTAGTAGTGGATGCAGAGAGGACTTTCAGAAGTATTTAAAGAAAGAATTTCATTGATTGCTGCTACACTGAAAATGGTGGAACGGGAAGTGACTCGAAAAGGAAAGAAAAAAAAAGTGGCACGCTGTTGAGAAAGATAAGCGAGGCACACGTGGCACACGATTTATTTTAAGCAAAAGCACAGTTCCTGCCTAAAGTGTGTGATCGTCACTGGCATTGCAGCGTAAAGACCGAAAAAAAAAGAACATTCCACGTGGTAGCCACTTTCATATGAAAGCGCACAGACGCTGGAAGACACGTTGCTTTATTGTTAAGGGAAATCTAAAATTAGCAATTGAGCAAGACAATAGGATCTACCGGGATTTTCCTTAAAAAACCACCACACGTGGCCGCCACACTGCAAAAGTGCTTAGGCAATAATGGACAAGTTGATCTGATTTTTGGGTAAGCGCGTTAAACCAGACGATCTTTACCGAGAAACCCTTTTCCGTATACTCGTTACAACACACGTGGCAGCCACCTTCACACATGAAAGCAAACGGGTAAAGAAAGACACGTTGCGTGGATTCTCAGGAAGTATCTAAGATTAGCAATGCAGCCATGACAACGGTATCTATGAAGAAGCTGTGTTCAGTATATTCTTTAACATGTGGTTACCACCTTCAGACATGAAAGCAAATGGGTAACAAAAGGCACGTTGCTTAGATTCGCGAGAATCATCTTAAATTAGCAATGCATCCCAACGATCACCGTCAAGAAGCTTTGTGCAGTATAATTTCCACAACACATGTGGTTGCTATGCCTTAATAATAGAGTGCACAGGAATAAGCCGCGTTACATACAGATATGCTATTTAAAATAGTATGTAGTGTAATGCTCTGAATCGTTATATTTGCTACTGGTATAACAACTCTTTGTCTTTTTCACCACACATCCTCCTTTGGCTCTATTCTTTTGTTATTAGTCACTTTTATTATTCTTCATCATGTCATCCCGTCAACGGCGAACGAGACGTACAAATGCCCCGGAAGAAGACTGCAACTGCCCAAACATATCACCGGCGGAAATGAACACCCACAGGAAGCAATATCATCAACAGCAAGTAACACTTACACTTCGCGATGGCTGTAAGTCGGTTTTGTGCCAATGTCAATTGTTTATTGGTGAACATATATCACGCATAAAGTTTTACTAAGACATAATTATTATGCAGCCAAACTCGATGTTGTGGTGGAACGGATCTCTCCCCCGGACCAAGTATTTGTGACATGCCCAGAGTGTACAAGACGCTTGCGCATCATGTCTGTGCATACTCATTTCCGAAGATTCTGCCAAAAACGCCTTGATCCTGCCACCGTTGCTCATCTTCCAAAATATAATCCTCCACCCTCTTCGACGATGCATCCAACTACAACACAGCAGCGTGGCGAGCCGCGTTTGCAGGAAACTCGCTCCATGTCACCACGGCAAACAGTTACATCAAGACGTGAAATGCCACGCAACCGCATGCCAGTTCAGCCTCCTTCGCCATCACCCATGTTGAATCCGTCACCACCATTGCCCTCATCGCCTTCTTCTTCTTTGATGTCATTGCTTCCACCATCCCAAGGTGCTTTAACATTATCAGATGAACAGCAACAGCAATCCCAACAGCAGGAAGACGCAACGGAAATCGACTAACAAGAGCCGACCGTGGACCAAGGTAAGATCATGGCGATAAAATCATTTACGTGCACATGCATGAGTAAAAGTGTGTGTGTGTGGTTTTTTTTTTTAATTTCAGAGCGTGCCAACCTGATTACTCGTTTGGGTCTCACCATCGATGAGAGTAGCGGACTCCTTTTTTGCTCGAATGGTTGCCGTGATCGCCAATACGTATTTGTCAAGACGGATGAAGCATACCAGCATATCATCACAGCCCATCGTGCACTACGACGGCATGTAGAAGCGGTTTTTGAGCACGAATTTACTGAACTTTTATATCGCCTTGGTTCCCAACGTTCTGATGTAACCGACCGATACTCTGTTGCCGCTTCTCGTGTCAGGGATATGATTCCTCGTGTCAATCTACTCGACCCACCTGTGCCAGGATACAGATGCAATGGTTGTCCTAGCTATTTCCAGGAGTACACATCATGTCGATCCCATCGTTCTACTCATCACGGTGATAGTGATGTGACGCTCAATGCGTTGTTTGCAAGATGTATGGTGCAAAGACTCGGTCTAAGCCAGAATATGCCATATTTCGGTGTTATATCGGATGATATGAACATTGACGCCAGCAACCGGGACGTGGCGCAAGGGGAGCAGAGACTTACTAATGCTATAGAACGGTGTTTGCTTCAGCACGAGGGTATCATGAAGCATTATGGTGTGCAGAACTTGGACCGCCCGGCACATTTGGCAGAGCGTCGCGCTATTGGCCGTTTTCACGAAACTATGCGCTGGGACATGCTGGTGAGAAGGGTTTTGACCGAAGAAGATACGACCGATAGCCGCTCCCGACTTGCTAGTTGGATATCTCTTCCTGAAGTATCGAACAAGATTGGCCTCTCCATTGTCGCTGCTGTGACGAAGTACATGAAAGTTGTTGACAACGCAACTCGTGGTGCGTCATATTATCTTGAGCGTCGCATGGTGATGGGACTAAGGTGTGTATTACACAATATAATGAGGGAAGAAGTAAGAATACAACAAACACATTTATTTATGGTGCTCTTTGTTTTTAAAATCATTAGTGTCGATGATGTCCCAACCCGTGGTCTGACTGAGCTGCTCCAGCAATCCCATGGAAGGACGTACAATGGTCGATGTGAACTAGGTAAGACGTTTATTTTTAATAAAAGTTAGACGACGATGTTGTAGTGAAAGAATTAAAGGAGGTGTATGCCGAGTACAGTTTCATTATTACATTCACAAAGGACACTGTTGACGCTGTAAGTCGTAAACGGGGTGGGAAAGATGGAAAAAAAGTCAATGGAGCTGATGGTTTTTGTTTCTTTTAACCTAAAGCCTAGTGACCTTGCCATCCCGCGGTGGTGACATTCTTATTAAGTACTCACATTGAATTTCGCTCTTTCTTTTAATCTGATATTTCTTTAGAACAACAGCAACTTTCTGGTACGATCTATTGGAGTTCCGACTTCGTCCATTCATGGATAACTATGTGATTGCTGATATAGAGCCAATGGAGGATGTGGGTATCGGGAGAAGCTCCAAATCAGGGCGTCTTACGGACGATATGATGAAGAATGTCAGTATTTGGCTTCGAGATAGGTAGAGTGAGTCGAGTTAACAAACCGTTGGACCCTTGTTGACGTAGTGGGATTGTGTGCTAATTCATAGGGGTGAAAACGCAAAAGGAAGCCAGAAAACTTCCTTGGAGTGAATTCAAGCGAATTGCTAACGATGCTGGGCTCATGGCTTACTATTATGATCACAAGATGAAGAAGCATAAATCTTGTGCTATGTATTTTTTGCTCTGTTCCGTTTACTTTTATCTTTTTACTTTTTGGTTTCGATGCGAACGTATATGTTTACAAAGAAGTTAGATAATTTTTTGTATGATAGACAACAAGGGTTATGAGAGGAAGAAAAGCTATGGCAATGAATATGAAAGTATACTATGGCATGGTAACCGCTCTTCGTTTGTTGGATCTTGAAGGAGATATCATATTAAATTGTTCGTCCGGCAAAGATGGACGACGTTTCGTATACATCATAGTATTTTCGTTTGGTTTCATGGGCACGCACCACTTTCTAAAACAATGCAATATGGCTATAAGATCATCGAAATAGCTTGGAAAAGCACCAAGATGTTCAATGGAATTTGGGATAGTAGCGGCAAATTCGGTACATACATAAAAACCATCAGCTTCAAGTTTGTTTAACAGAATATTCGCCTTATGATCTAAAAAGTTATACCTAAATTAGTGAAAGTTTCAGTGGTTTCCATGTCTGAATATAAATAAGAGAGCTTACTCACTAGTTGAATGCTTAAAGAAGCTTTCAATCCAAACGCATCCAAAAAGTTTTTTGTTAATAAGCACAATCGAATCAAATCTTTTGATATGCCATATTGGTTTCCAGCTTCTGAAGCTGGTTTCACTTCAACATATCCCAATGAGTGACCAAAATGAAGGCCATTCATCTCTGTTACACAAGAATCCGGCCGCTGATTTGAAATGGAGGCTTTTGATGGTGTTTCTTTAGCCTCTTGATTTGTAGTGCTCGTCCTAAGAAACAAACACCATATATAAGTAATACGCACAGAATTTCAAGCTTGTCTTATCACTCACCACCTGAACAAGACACCATTATCAGGTTCGTCAAATAATGCGGATAAAAAGGGATCAATAAATCGATGACATAGTTCGGTTTCTTTGATCTCGGGCGCAATTTCTTGGTAGGGGAGTTTATCAATGCTAAAAGAATGTAGGAAGTTCCTATAAATATATATCTCATTTTCCATTGGTATACAAAAAATAAATATACTTACAAGTTCACCACGCTTTTTGTGATGATAGAGCTTTAATAAAGATAATAAGGGACAAGATTAAGTATCTTTGAGATCATGTTTTATTCCAACAAAAGATAAAGCTCTTTTATATTCTAGCTATCAAGACGGCGATATCAATTCATCCGACTAATGGATAAACTATGTGAAATGTGATAGAGGATGGATCAAGGACGTATCAGAACTTCTATTGAAGTTGCTATGTTAATCGGGCACATCTTTGAAACCGGCGTTAGCTGATGTAATGGCCGAGGTACCTGTTGATAGGTTCATTGTCCTGTTCACGTAAGGTGGATCATCTGAGTGAGAGATTTTATTCAATAGTGTTTAGCCGAAATGCCGTAGTGTTCATACGTGTGTGCTATAATGTTTAACCGAATATCTTATTGTTGATAACTTAAGCAGTGTATTAATGTGGTTCACCACATCACCCCCTTCCAGGTTAAACATTATTTTGTGAAGAATGTGCTTAGCAACGTGTGCGTAAACGCTTACTGCGTCTAGTAGATGGTGTAGGTGTGGAACCCTCTTAACGTTTGGAAATAGTTCCTTTTGCTTTACGTTGTGATTGCTGTGGGATATGCGTCACAGGTAATGCAGTTTGTATTTTGCTTTGCTTCGGTGGTGTGATACCAACACGTTCCCAATATTTCATGATTGGTTGTGGACTATTAAATGCTTCTGCTGGTTCCAAGGAATCGTCATCAGGTGTATAATCTTTTTATCTAACCCGGTATTAATATTTGCCTGGTGCAAGCTCTTTGTGGTCTACAATTGACTGTACGGTGTAATATTTACCGTTTTCTTCAAATGCTTCTTCTGTATCAATTAATTCATCCTGTGATAGGAGTTTCATTTGTGAGGGTGCGTAGTTATGAGAAGTTAATAAACCCTGTTCATCTCTAAGGACATAAGAACCACCTTTGGTTTTGCGTACTACAGTATATGGTCCTTCATATCTTGGATCCATCTTCTTACTGCGTAATTCATCAATGACCATGACCGTGCTTCCGATGGGATAATCGGTGATTCTGAACTTGGCATTGTATTTGCCTTTTTTAATATCATCCAGTGCCTTTGCTCTTTCCGAAATTGCAGGAAAGACAATGTTTGTCATTTGTTCAATGCGGTGTTGCAGCTCATCTTCTGTGAGTGGCCGCGGGATCTGTTCTTTGCTATAGTCCCTGAAACCGTTCATTGTTCTATTGAACATAAGAGCAAATGGTGTAGAACCATGTCTATTGGCAACTTTGTTGTTAAGGGCTAATTGTGCTGGTTTGACATATAAGTCCCAGTCTCTAACTGCTCCTTTTGTATACTTACGGATGATGTTAACAGTTGTTTGCACAAATCTTTCAGCCAATTCCTGAGCTCTTGGGTGAAAAGGCGTAGAAAGTCTTTGGTCGAATCCAGAGGCTTCTCGAAGACGAGTCATTAGTTGGTTTTTGAATTCTGTACCATTATCACGGCTGAGATAACGGCAAAAGCCCACTAAGCAAAATGTGTCGATGACTGCTTGAACGACAGTGTCTGATGTTTTTTCAGGAAGTGCGTATAAAACACAAAAACGTGTGCATACGTCTACCACGACTAAGAGATAATTGTTTCCGCGATGGCTTGTGCCGAAGCCGCTTGCAAGATCAATTGTCCAATGATCACCCGGATAGAATGCATGAAGAGGTCTTAAAGGGTTATAACCTTTCTTGGTGATGTTGAATCGCTGGCATTCAGGGCAGCTTTTTACAATGTGTGCGGCTTCTTTGTACATATTGTTCCATTTCAAACCATCATTGTGTAGTGCTTTTGTGATAGCTTCAGTGCCAAAGTGACCAAATGCATGTGCTTTTTTGAGTAGTTCCGGTCTTTCATGTTCGGGTGGTTCAAAATAGATGTCATCATCTATGTTGTCAGTGTTATTACTTGTTTGTGTGTTTACTGTGAGAGTCTTATTTTGTACAGTGTTATTGTTTGTATGAATTTGCGTAGCACTACCCCCTTCCAGCTCTTTTTCATCGATGTGAAAAAGGCGAGATAATTGATCAGGAAGGATGTTATCTAATCCTAGTAGGTGAATAATTTCATAGTCGTATTGTAAGATGGTGTCAAACCAACTGATCATCATAGCGTTGGCTATTTTTTGTGTATGGAGGAAGGTCAATGCTTTGTGATCCGTGTATAATTTATACGGTTTGCCATATAAATATTTGTGGTATTTGTCAAGTGCAAATATAATAGCGCTGAGCTCAGGTCGTGTAGTGCTATAGAATCTTTCTGGCTTGGAAAGTGCTTTAGCCATGAAAGCAATATGACGTGTTTCACCATCTATGACTTGGAAAAGTGCTGCAGCGATTCCAGTATTTGAAGCGTCAGTTGCAACCTGAAAAGGATGTGATAAATCAGGAAAGCGCAGGATGGGAGCTTCAAGTAGCATTTTCTTTAACGTGTCAAAACTGTGTTGTTCTTTTTGTGTCCATAAACCTTTTAAAGATTTGGCATTGCGAAGTCGGTCTAAAGGTGCCATAACTTCAGAGACTTTTGGTAGGTAAGAGCGCATGTAATTGATAGTACCACAGAAGGCAGCTATAGCTTTGCCAGTTGTAGATGTAGGGATATTTTGGATGTTGCATACTTTGCGTTTATCCAGTGATACACCTTCGGTGGATACATAGTGGCCAAGTAAGTAGGCACAACGTTGTGCATATACGGCTTTGTCATGATTGATGCGGAAATTTACCTCAGTTAATTTGTCAGTTACTGCGGCGACATGGATAGCATGTTCTTCTATGCTGTTTGAGAAGATAATGACGTCATCAATGAACGCACGAACGAAGGGCATCTCTCTAAGAAGAACTGTTAAACAGCGAGTAAATACCGAAGAAAGATGACGTAATCTATAGCAAGCTCCTCGGAACTGATATTGGATGTGTCCTTCAATTGTGAAAGCAGTTCGTTCTCGATGTGGTTCATAGAGAGGTAAAGAAGTGAAAGCAGATTTTACATCGAGGTAGGTAGTAACGACGGTGCGATTTGAATTACCGCTGTTGTCATTGCCTTGGATGGCTGCAATAACATCACTTAATAATGGAAGTGGATGTTGTTCACATTGTAATAAATGCTGGTTGATTAAGCGGACATCCATACCTCAATTAACAACAAAGAGAAATTAGTCTCCCTTGAAAGAGAGTTACAGGAAAGGAATGATCGTCACAAGAATTTGTTTGCACGACAGGTTCGCATAGACTGGCTCAAGGAGCATCAGGCAAGCGATGCACGGGCAGCAACATTGTCTTTGTCACTAAGAAAACGAAAGGCAGCAGATGGTAGAGCCCAGGAAGCTGAACAGAGACCAGCGACAAATGATAATACTGAAGCAGACAGTGACCAAGAGGAAAATGGTATGTTAAATCTATTTACATTACCTGTATTGACATGCTCATTAATAAATCTACATGTGCTATTTTCCGTCAAAGCAGAGGATGCCAATAGTGCAATGCAAGTGGATCTTAACTCATTGGATATCGACCTGAACAGCGAGCCTGATGATAATACGCAACCAACAGCAGCAAACAACAACCATACAGATGGCAATGACAGTGAGGATCAGCAGGACGACTCATTTGTGCCAGCTACAGCTTCTTCTTCGAAGAATGGCGACACTGCAGATAGTTTTGAAGCAATGACAAATGTGACAAGCTTACCCGGAAGCGTTCGAGACCCTTCTGAACATGGCGATGACCGGGAAAGTATTGAGCGCATAACAAGGACCACTGAATCAGGCCAGGCTTCCAATGATGCGCATGTAGACCTTGGCACCCAAGTAGCCTTGTCGTCAGGTCGTGCTCTTCGGAACACATGGAAAAGTGGAGGAAGGTTTCTGACAGGTAATCACACAAAAGAAAATAACATTTCGTATACAGTGCTTTCAAACTTACCAGTATATTTGTAGAGGTCAACAGTATCTGTAACCGAGACTTTGATGGCAGATTCAAGTTTTTCAGCGAGGTGGCCGACTTTGCGGCAGTGTTGAGGAACAGCGTCGGCAATGTCGAGATTGAACCCTTGCAAGATCTTGTCAATGTCAAGCGCGTCGAGAGGTTGACAACCTCAAGCAGTGTCATAAATAAGGCAAAAGTTTGTGCAAACCGCATAAGCAGATTGGCAGTGAATGGCAGCATGGTCGAGTTTATGCACATGATCGAACGCATCAACATTGCCTACTACCGCTACGACTACCATGTCAATAAAAAAGGCAAGCTCAAAGACTTTGATGAAGGTGTGTTCCAGCACCTGTCGACAAAGACTGCGCAACAGCTTGTCTCAAAAATATGCCAAGGCTGTCGACGGTACATCCAGCTGGTCTGCGAGTTTGGAGTGGGACTAGTCCTGCTACCAGCTACTTTTAACCCGACAAAGCTAGAATCTGTAAGTACATTATACAATGTGGCCGTTATTTATTGAATATGTGAGTGCCTTACTGTCCCTCTTTTGTAGATGTCTGAGGATGCGTTCGTACAAGTACTTTCTACAGTCGACAAAGATTTATTCAAGGCGCGACTAGAGTGGGTTGTCAAGGATCTGATTATACCAAAGTAAGCAACAGCCGTAGTGGACTTTGCCAGAAATAATCACCATGCATTCGAGTCAAGAAAGAATCGGCGTAGATTGGAAGACAATAGTATTACAGAAGATTGAATAAACGTTATTGGGGGGCTGCACAAATTGAACGGACTATTGGCGGGAGAAGCACTTTTGTAACAATATCTACATTGGCGAATCAAGATTAATACAGCAGGTTTTAAATTCATGCTCATTGGCAACACCCATCAATAGCAGTTGGCATTCAGCAAGGGCGAATTAGTAAAACGACTTTGAAAAAGTCATTTCAATCCTAGACATTCTGCAAGAGATTAGCCTGCTCTGTAAATTGCTTGCCAAAACAAAGGAGGCTATGCAAAAAGGTGACAGTTGTAAATGAGAGGATAGGATTGAAACGCAGTCGTAAAAAGTGTATACTGCCTGTTGGAAGCCTTGCTTTGGATTGGATGAAACAACCAAGACGATTCAGCAAGGACAACATTGTTAGAGGTGGATCAAAACTAGCGCTGCTGTGAAAAAGGTTTTTGATAAAAGGCTTTTGAATGATCCAAATAGTTTATTCGTCAAAATGGTTCTAGGGTATCCAAATCAAGCTGTTCACTTATTTGCTGCACAAACGCGAATATTTCTTTGACGCTTAGCGGGATTATGGGCTTGAAGGGACGAAATAAAGATGCGAGTTTGTATTTGAGCGTCACCTTGTCTATCGAGCTGACAATGGCAACGAATTTGTCTTCTGGAATCTGTGTGTAAAAGGGGTCAATAAAGACGAAACCGATGGATATTAATTGCTCATTGTTACCTTGTTCATTATTTGTGGGTTGAACATTGTCGGCAAGCAAACAATTGGAATACCGAATTCGCGTACCAGATACGCATAATAGCGGACGCCTGTAAATATGTGCTGCGTCGTGTGTCTGGAATGTGGCTTTGGTAAGTTGCAGGCCATGCCGGGATGTGTGACGGAGTACAGCTCTTTTGCTACCCCCTTTTGCTGAAACAGATGACGTGCAGAAGCAATGTTCAAGCTGCGTGCAATGCGCAAAAGCGAAGCCGCCGCATCCATATAATCCGACACCCAAGCGCTGTCCTATGTTGATCCAGTGCCGGTTGGAACCCTTTCATCGACACTGCTTGTTTTCTGCGTTATCGTCAGGTAGCCATCCTTACTGGTTGTTGACAAACACACGTTGTTTTGACAAAAGACAAGGACCACAGTTTTGATCTTTGAGATAATACAGTCAATGTGTGCAGTGTCAATGGCAATGCTCGCCCGCAAGTCTGTTGCAAATAACCAATTATTAAAGAAAGCTGTAATTCATGCCCCCAACACACACCATTGAATCTATTACCAGCAAGTAACCCTGAACCATCGTGTGTATAATTATCAGGCAGTATGCGACAGTTGAATGCCATCCATCGGTAAAAGTCTTTTGGGATGTCTTTACCAGCACATACAAGATCCGATAAAGATATCACTTGTGTAGTTGCCACAAGTGGCTGTTGGAGCACGAGTGGCTTTTTGTCATCAAATTTTGGCACCTCTTTGTCTATTTTACAGAAGATAGTAACCGCCATTAGTGACAATCGTATCTAGACTGAGACAGCGCGTTGCATCAAATCACAAAAGTGCCTTACCTGTAGCTTTCTTTCTTTTCTTAAACACTTTACTCAACCGCAAAGGTGCATCATTGCTTGAGACGGTGGGGGTTCGCTAAAAAACGATTTGTTGGCGTCGTGGGCTTTGTGATATATTTAACTATCCTTTGTACCTGTGTGTCATTGCTCCTGGTTTTGAATGTAATTTCATAATTATACTCAGCACATATCACCTTGATGGCAGATAAAAAATGATCGATGCCTGTAGAACATCATGAGAATTCGCACTGTCGTCTTTTACAGACATTGTCCAAGACATACTTACCATAGCTCGATGCTGCTGTTTGTAGTGAAACCTCTAGATCAGAAGGCATGAGAGACGCGTTTATGCGATAAGAATACAAAGACGTGGCCACATTTACGGCTAAAAAGGAAAAAGGGTATTGCCCTTTATAAATTGACTTTTGATGATGTCAGTAATCGTACAGAGTCGACAAACAGATCAAGATAAATACTCGTACTTTGTACAACATCCTACTGCATTCGTCCTGTTTACTTTTTTCTTGGAAAAGAGCCTTTCTTGTTGACCGTTTTTGTATAGCAAGTAACAGGTTACATTGGGGGTCTTTACCAAACTTGAACACGAGCCCCTGGCCACATTTTTTTGGGGGGTACTGTTCAGAATTCTTTGCTTGCTACTATTTGCTTCGGGGTCAATTGTGCAACACAGCTGCAGCGACAGTCCCATCTAACTTCTTGGATATGACGTCAAAATTATCTTGACGCAGATGTATCAACAAACAGCACTTTTCCTATTTTGCTTCAGGGTTAATTGTGCAACATGTTTGCAAATGTGTCAACTGGCATATATACTCACGCGAAAAAGTGAGTATCTCTATCCACTTTAAAGCATTAGTTGACGCATAAGTTAGATATAACACATTTCACACAAATACATCAGTTTGAAAAATTGTAGAGAACAATTTTTACTTTGTTGAAGTCGTCCTATCAATCACTTTTTGAATGTGAAACCTTCATTACTAAACGTCGTTGCGTGTAAGAGCCATGTTGCTTTGCAATCATGCTTTTCCAAGTTTGCTTATAAAGTCGCTTGTGCTACATACTTCTATATCAGTAAACAACGTCGTAATGCTTTTCGGCAGCAAATATCGTTATATGCGATCCCCCTGTTGATCAATTGACCCTCAGGGTTCAGTGTACTACTATTTACAAGGACTGTCCATCTTGTCTATTATGTCTCGCTGTATATCTCCCTTAAAGTAATAGATTACTATGTACAGTCGACCCCCGTTGACGTCAACGCTCAGAATACCAGCAAAAGTGTTGACCATATCGAGGGTTGACGATCACCGGGGGTAGAGAATAGGCAAAATCTCTAACTGCTAAATTTGAAAGGGTACCAGCAAATCGGTTGACGTTATTGGGGGTTGACGTTATCGGGGGTTGACGTTAACGGGGGTATACTGTATCCATATTATTTTAGAATTAAAGTATTTACCTGACAAAAAAGTCGAGCATGGTGTATATAAGGCCGACTACTTTGCATCATTTACATCAAACAACAACCCTTCTTTCTTTGCCAACATGCAACCTGATCCCTTTAATGAGTATCTTTGTACCCCAAACACTAGATCTAGTGTCTCCTTTGAGTGTTTATAGCAGTTGCAGTTTTCGCTATTTTTTCCTAATATTTCAATATATACAGCACAGGGCCATGATATAGATACATGTCATTGGATATGTTTCAGAACGTATTGTTTGCTCTGTTATACATCTTTCAATTCGGTCGGTAACAGGTGGTAGTTTTAGACACTAGATCTAGTGTCTACTTCGGGACTGTGTATATTCTTTAAAACAAAAGAAAAGAGGTGAAAAAAGATGATAGAATAGTAGAATGGCACAATTAAAATTATTCTATATAAGTTTTATCATTGATGTTGTGTTTGTTTTGCTTGTAGGTGAATTCTATAACAACTACCTTTGCATAGACCCTTTGTCGGAGTGCAGCTGCAGTACAACGTGCTATTTGCTTTGCAGATTTGGCAAATCCACTGGCGAGAATACTTTTTGCCAGTTGCCTTGACAACACGTTGGCCAATGGATAACAGATCATGTATCTCATTCTCTTGGTCCTGCTGCTGTTGTTCTTCGGTTACCGTTGCCATTTCTACACTTGATTGATATTCGAATATCATCTCAGTACAGAGCTGCTCTCAAAATGCGAAGCGAGTAATGTTTCTTTTCTCAGGTGGTCCGAATGATCGCCATGCAAGAAAAGCATTTGCTTCTGCTAAAGCCAAAAAGAAAGAAAAGGCTCGGATCTCCCAGGAACGTCTGCGAATAATATCATGGTATGATGTCATGTTATCGCGGTTCTTGTTGTTGATATCTACTACGCCTTTTCTAGCATTGTAGTCGTCAAAAACAGTTGGACGACGGAAGGTCGCAAGATAGCTTTGGTTTCCCCACTTCATGACATGAGTCACCTCTGAGCCCAGTGTTGTTGTGCTGCAAGTGCTGATGACGCACTGCGGTATTCTGTCACGAAGAATACAGATGGCCATAGGAACCTCATCGATGGTTCCAACCAGTGAAATTGAAGATCCAGCTTCCTCCCCAAGTCGAGACAGCAAATCACAAGGTATATTGCGCGGCCAGTGTGCTCTCTTCTTCATTGCCATAATGCTGTAGAGCCCATGCTGATAAAGAACAGCGGCACATGCAGGAGTTCCAAACCAGGAATCAGCAAGACCTGTTCTTCTAGTCGCAAACCAAGGTTCGGAGAGGCGCAAAACGGTGGAGATGACAGCACCTTGATCACCAAACTTTTTCCACTGAAATGTTTTCTCGCTGATATCAAGACGAATAATGATGTTGGTCGTTGCATCAGCAAGTGTTTTAAATTCTTGACCATCAGGATGGGGCTTGGAAATGATCTTCTTGACATTGGGCATTCGTAAAACCTTTCCAACCCATTGGTTCATACTCTCATCAATTGTCAACATGCTTCCAGGTTCCAAGGCATTAACCAGATTTACATTGCACTCGTCAACAAATGCACGAATAGGGATAAAAGGATCTTCGGCTCGTTTTGATTGCATAATATTTGGATTCTCTAGTGTATGAGCTGCAAGAATGGCGTTAATTCGGCGTCTTGACATCCATCGTCCAAAGTTAAGGGGAGAAGGAACCAATATCGTTGGATGTGTTCTCCAATAAAAGCCTCTGTCACTGCAGGGGAGCCATGCCATAATACTCCAAAGTCCAATCCAAAGGAAGTACTCAGTGGGGGTAAGTTCGCGCCAGTTTGGGACATCTATGGCAGTGGCTTGAGCATTGATAGCAGGAATGCAATGTGTCGTGATATACATCATTGGGAGGAACCTCTTAAAGAAAGTAAGAGGCGTCTCAAAGATGGAGCTGGCTACATTCAAAATAGCAGCTTCCTTGTATGACGGCCTTGTAGAACGCCTGTCGATCGTTACACGTTCACTGATCCTAGTTTCTTCTTCTTCTTCAATGTCCCCTTCCTGCAAGTGCTCTTCAACCAATTCTCCTTCGTCAATGAATTCATCACTTGCCGGCTCATAGTCAATACCTAGATCCACAAGGGCACTTGTATCTCCTGTTTGCATCCCAGAAACAATACCAG